GGAATGTATCTTAAAGACTATGAATGAGGCTTTGCATTACTTACTTTCTCTGGGGGCTGGTCCTTTGAACTGGGTTCTAATTGGCAGCATTGCCATATTACCGACTAACTTGGTGTCAGATTCCTGTAGAGTGGAATGGTAGGCCTGGGACACACAGAAAATAATAAACATGTATGTAAGTACAACCAATGAGTGATGTGGTGCTTTCAGTAAAAAATAATACTAAATTACATGAATCAAAATACAGAAAAAAATACACATCCAAGATAAATACACACAATAATACAAATTACTAGTAAAAACTAGTAACACAAAGTTCTGAACATTTTAGTCTGAAATACTCACATGTACATGAGCCATTACCAGGCTCTATAGTAAGTGCACAAGGGTGCCTCATTACACTTACACATTCCACTCCATATTGGGGTATATAAACAAGGACTCTGATAAAATGATTTTCATCTGCTTCTTCCAATTGCACCTCCAGGTGTTGATTTGTTTAAACTCACAAATGACCAGACTACTACTGAATACTTATACGGAGACAATAAGGGTTTATTAACTAAACATATGTAGAGAATTGAAAACTGAATAGCAAAATTTAGCCTATAATAGCCCGGAGGAGTTAGAGAATTTTTGCCTATATTAAGCAATTCTGTTTCCAATTCACTACTACGGTTTAGTGAATGAAACTGAGCAATCAATGCACAAATCACAGCAATCATATAAAATCAGAGTAATCAACAGAACAATGTAAAAATGTCCTGAGTCCCGATAGGCCTCTGCAGAGCATATATGCTGATACTAATGGAAACATGGACAGATGGAAGAATATATTGTGGGATTATCATTAATTATAGAGAATTCTACACGCTTGTAGGAGTTTCCCATTGTCTGCTGCTTTTGCAGTGAATGATGCGGAAACCAGAAAGTGCCCAAGGTACCGCAGCCAATATTTACATACCTATTGATTTTAACAAAGGGGTAGATACAGCATTCTGCCTTAGACACTGTTAAATCTAACAAACATTCAAAGCTAAAACTGAGAATGTTATGGCCATAATGTAGCTGAATATTATTTAAAGAGACCGTAAGGCTTCAAAACCCTGGCTTGTACAATTGAACACAATAATGTTCCAAACTGAATACTAGTTCTGTTAAGACATCTATCAGAATGTTGCTTTGTTTTCAGATTGGTTAGTGTTTAGACATCTGTTAAGCATGTTATTACATTTTTAAAATAATCAAACTGAATATTCTTAATTAGGGCTGGGTCAGGTGTTTCAATACTTCCTGAAATGCCCTTAACATTTTTGTTTTAATTTTCTATGGGCCAACAAGCTCAAAGCTTTGGGTTGCCAGACCAGGAGTGTTTTCATGGATATATTTAATGAGTCTGTGCTGTTGGCAAGAACTAAAAGATACTACCTTGAAGGATGTATAGTTGATAGTTCATATGCTGGAAGAGGAAGATAAAAAATAATTAACAAGTTTCTCTAATGAACTATCTTAAAGGACCACTATAGTGCCAGGAAAACATACTCGTTTTCCTGGCACTATAGTGCCCTGAGGGTGCTCCCACCCTCAGGGTCCCACTCCCGCCGGGCTGGATGGAGAGGAAGGGGTTAAAAACTTACCTCTTTTCCAGCGCGGGGCTCCCTCAGTGCTGGGACTCTCCTCCCTCTTCTTCTGTCATCGGCTGAATGCGCATGCGCAGCAAGAGCGCGCGCATTCAGCCAGTCTCAGTCATAGGAAATCATTCTCAATGCTTTCCTATGGACGCTGGCCTCTTCTCACTGTGATTTTCACAGTGAGAAGCGCGAAAGCACCTCTAGCGGCTGTCAATGAGACAGCCACTAGAGGCTGGATTAATCCATATGTAAACATAGCAGTTTCTCTGAAAATGCTATGTTTACAGCAAAAAGGGTTCTCTCTAGATGGACCTGGCACCCAGACCACTTCATTAAGCTGAAGTGGTCTGGGTGCCTATAGTGGTCCTTTATAGAAATGAGGCCCCCTTCAGCAAGTGAATTGTACATAGGGCAGCACATTTCATGCCCTGCCCATCATCAGGAAGGTGAGTCCAGAAAAATAAGGTTGGTCTGCAATCTACCTGAGCTATATATGATACCAAATTAGTATCAAATAATAAAAAAAAACAAAAAAAAAACTTTTGTTAAAGAGACAGTATAGGCACCAGTGCAACTACATGTATTCCTGACCCTATAGTGTTAACACGACCATCTAGCCCCCCTGGGCCCCTCATGCCTCTAGAAATATAGTAAAAATCTTACTGTATTCAAGCCAGAAGCTGTAAATCTGCATGTTGTTAGACTCAGGAAAAACAAGCAGTCTGCTGACATGTGATAGCCTGATCCAATCACAGTGCTTCCCCATAGGATTGGCTGAGACTGACAAGGAGGCAGATCAGGGGCAGAGCCAGTATGATTCAAACACAGCCCTGGCCAATCAGCATCTCCTCATAGAGATGAATTGAATCAATGAATCTCTATGAGGAAAGTTTAGTGTCTGCATGCAGTGGGAGGAGATACTGAATCACAGGATGCTTGTGCACAGCAGATCTGAGTGGATGGAGGCATATTGTGCCTCCATCTACTCAGAAGTCCCTCTGATTCACTATGAGTGACTGCAACTGGAGGTGTTCCTAGCTTTCAATGTAAACGCTGTATTTTCTCAGAAAATACAGTGTTTACATGAGAAAGGCTGCAGGGAGCTATAGTTCTCACCTGAACAACCTCATTAAGCTGAAGTTGTTCAGGTGACTATAGTGTCCCTTTCAAATACATAGAACATTTACCAGTTCAATTTTCTTAGGTATTTTCCTAACAAAATATTCAGGTATTTTCCTAACAAGTATAATGAAACAAAAATTTGTAAAAGTTTAAAGATTTTTCAAAAGTTATTCAACATATTGGGATTATACCACTGTTTTAGTGTACTTTTTCCCCACACACCCTCTCTCCTATACAACTACAATTTAGATTGTTACATATAAAAACCATGACAGTTTTTGAGATTTCGAAAAAAACTTACAAGTAATAGTTTAACTTTAGGGAATCCTAGCTGAACAAGCTCGAAAAACCACTTCCTCTATGACAAACCATGTTCCCTATTCTGCAAATTCTAGTCTTATAAGGTAAATGTGGCTTTTAACTGCTAACATACCAGTAGGTCCTTTAAAGCCCCACATGTTCATTGCCCCTGTTAATATAATTGATCTAAGGGACACCATGACATACAGCTCCTCACATTCTCCTGCAATGGGACAGGGTAGGCAACCTTTGGCACTCCGGGTGTTGTGGACAACATCTCCCATAATGCCCTGCCATATTGCTGGCAAGGCAATCAGGCGTGATGTAGTCTACATCTGGAGGTTCGCAGGTTGCCTATAGTTTGAGGTATTGTGCCAAAAATGCTATTTAACCATTAGGTGGCTACTGATTACAATATATCACACTTTACTGACAGAGTTGGTTTATACAGTAACTGGGCCCAGCCAGGAGACATGTCACCATTATCACACAATCCTTGCCCTATACAGAGTATTCACACGTAATACAGTCTCGCTTGGGCCTAACAGGCCCCTTGTCAGGATGCAGTGCCAGCAGTGCTACCCTCACCCCAAGCAGCATCCTGGCACACAGGGCATACTGCTGTCCGACACAGTGCTCACTCACCGGCATGATGAGGGACTTGCTAGCTGACAAACCAAGATGAATCTTACAGACAGAGAGCCAAAGCTGCTTCTCTACTTCCGCTGTCCCACCCTGCTCGTCTAAACCAGGAAGTGTGAGTTGTGCATTACCGGCAGCCGCCACAAGGTGCTGCGATTTCAAAACGGAACTTAGGTTAAAGAGCGACTTGTGCATTACCACGAGCGGCCGCCAGAGGATGCAAGTCTACTGATCATTTATTGTAGTTTGTAACAGCTAGCACTCCAAGCAGAGAATAGAACGTGACGAATGCTCGGGTTCTAGTACACAGAATCCTGGGGAACTCTATTCTCTAGCTATAGTTGCAGAGGGCACCGAGTTCCTTCACTTCTTACTGTGCACTGCTTACAGTACAGGAGCATTCATATAGAGGACTGGGCAATTTAAAATGAAAGAAAAGCAAATTGGAAAACAGGCCTACCCTCTATCCAGTGCAACATTTCAATTCCTAGTCCTCTATGTGAATGCTCCTGTACTGTACTGTAAATTCTTAAAGGGACACTCCAGGCACCCAGACCACTTCTGCCCATTGAAGTGGTCTGGGTGCCAACTCCCATCACCCTGCAGTTTTTATAAACTACAACAATTACCTTGCAGGGTTAAGTCCTCCTTTAGTGGCTATCAGACAGCCACTAGACGGACTTCTGGATTCTTATACGACTTTTTGGACGCTTAAACGACGCAGTCGCCAGAATCCCCATAGCGAAGCGTTGAATAATGCTTTTCTACGGGAAGGTCTAATGCGAATGCACGCCCATTGCCGCGCATGCGCATTAGGTCTCCCGCGCTGCCAGACATCAGCAAGGAGAAGCATAAAATAAGAAAAAAGTGTTGTCGCAGTTTGACTAGGGTGTTTTAATTACAAGAAATGGACCTTTTGCCTGGCAACAGTGTGGAGAGGAATCTTTGACAGGAGGGTATTATATGTTGAGAAGACACCATACAACGGTTTCTCAACTTTTTTTGTAGAAATATTTAACTGTACACTTAAGGTTCCTTTTGCATTATTAATCATTTAGGTTTGTAAGGGCAAGGAGTCCCATTGTGCTAGTAAAAAGTAACTATTTCAGTGTCCGTGTTTCTGCGTGTGTGATGGCTCTGCGGACATTGGTTGTGTAGATGTGCTGCACAGAGGAATTGATGAGTGGTGATTTGCCGGCAAAGGAATGGCTGAGAGAAGGGGTGTAGTAGTATTGAATGTTTGTTTACCAGATTATTGTAAAACTTCCCAACACCACCATACCAAAGCAATGACAAACTACACAGTTTGTTGGAAAAAAATGTTTATTAAATACTGAACTGCAGAAAAGCCACTGTTTGACTTAAATAATTGTCACAACATTTTTATATTCACACATCAGCATAAGGACGAGATCAAACTGCATTGTAAAGGCTTTACAGAAATATAGCCTTCTTGGCATTAAGAATGTTATTTAAAAACCTCATCTGTACATTGAAAACAAATTTAACAGTTCTAACACTTGCTCAACATGCGAATATGTATTTCTTGTCCTCTGATAACAACATATCAAACATGTGAGGTTTTATACATACCAACAATGAAAAAAAAAGAAATAGTGTAGTGCTAGAAAGTACATAAAAATGTTTTCATTTTCTATGATCTTAAAAGTACTTTAGAAGTTTTTATCTTCTACTTTGTAAACTGAACTTTAACCACACACAGAAGGCTCCCAAAGGCTATTAATAGTGCTGGAGATAAAATTATAAATTAAAACAGACTGCTATAGAACAGATTTTGTTTTCTTTGCCCACCCTCAATATTAATAGGGTGATGTGGTAGGTTTTTTTTTTGTCGTCTCTTTTCTATTGGGTGGACATAATTTTTTTTGGAGTGGGGTGGACAATGGCATCTAAACAGTATATTTAAATAGACCCATACATGGGTTGTCATTTTGTTTTCTTTTAATTTTCCAACAAGCAATACAAATATATTGAGGAAAAAAAATAAATAAAAAGGAATCAAAAGGGTAGAGAAGCATAGTCGTTAATCAAAATATTAAATAAAAATAAAGCAGCAAGAAAGCTGTGTTGACTAAATCTGTATGAGGACATTTCAGATAACTTTTGTACGTTTAGGAATGTAATGGTCTCTGCTCTCCTTTATTGTACATAGACCTCTAATCCCACTAATTTGTTTGTATTATTGCATAATTGCATTGTCTCTGCTGTCTTTTACTGTACATAGACCTCTAGTCAGTTTGTATTATTGTATAATCGCTACATTTCTAGCAAATAATGAACTAGAAGTAGCACAAATCCTTGCCAGCCAAAAACAACGGAAGGGGCAAGCAAAGTATCAGATTCAGTTAGGTAGTGGGTGAAGGTCCAGTATGGACTACTCCTGTTCTAGCCTCTAACCAATATAAGGCATATGATGTGCAGGGTAATCTGCCATGCGTGTTGTACTAATGGATGAATTTATTCCCCTGAACTTGACTCATCTAGCAGGACAATGCAATTACTTTTTTGAAACCTTATTGTGTATTCACATAAATTCCCCACACTTATATGGAGTGAGAAAGTTATCTCTGTAGTTTTAAGAAATGTTCAATAACATCAGCAACATGATAATGTCTTTTCACCAAAGTAAAAGCTATATTAATGTGCCACACCTTTAAATTAACACATTCTTCAGATTTACAAACAATTCAGAAAGCCACCCAGACATAACCAGTTTAAGTTAAATGATATTTGTGGATGGAGCTGGCAGTATTTTAAATGTCAACTTTTCAGCTGGTGCAGACTGGGATCTTCACATCCAGGGAAGCAGGAAACATTCTACATCCCATATCTATCACCAATATAGCAGCCCAGCAGCACGACTAAACACATGTACCAGAAACGGACATGAATTGAATAAACTCCACTTCCCAACAGGCCAACAGTGGAGAGTGGCTTTTAAAACACTGAACACTAATTAGAAAAGTGCAGATAATGGGGGTGAAGACTTATGATCCCTCAGATGTTGATGAATGGCAACGAATATAATCCTTTCCCAGCTATAGGTTGGTAGAAATAAGGGAACTGTAGTTCTAGAACGCGGTGTGTTGTTGCAGGCACCACCGATGAGCATTCATGGAATTGCAAGGGGCAAAAGAAAATGTCCCTTTTGTAAGTCGAGCCCCTGTCTATCAGGCAATTTTAGTTCTTCACGTCCTATGTAGTTTCCTTCAGATCAGGAAGTATATGATGGAGAAAGCATAAGTGGAAACTGGTACCCACTAGCATTCATTTTGAAACTTTTTTTTAACATATAATGTGGGTTACAATGTACCTTTTCAGCTTATAACACATGGCACTAAGTGACATGGCAGATGTGTAGGTAACTCATTTGAAGCCAATTCTCTGGCAGACTTATTGGAGATGTTACACCTTGTATTCATTACACAGTGTGAATGAGATCTGCTTAGCAAACACTTTGCTCTCTATGAACTACTACCAACTACTATTAAACAGCCACTGTCACTGCTCGTCTGCTCGGTCCTGGAAGAATTCATCAAAGTTTGGGGATGTGTCCTCTTCATTTTCCTGTCAGAAGAAACAGCATTAACATCATCAGAACAGTTACATGGGGAGAGGCAATGATTATGAACATGTAGTAGATTTTAAAGCAAATGTTAGAATAAATGAAAAACCAACTATGACACAAAGCCACAGATTAATACAGTTTTAATAACACAAAAACTAAAAACAAATGTAAGTTGCAATAATTTCTATTAATGATTGGACATATAAACATATGTTTAACGTTCCCATTTTCTATTATTCCCAAACTGATCTAGAGGGAGAGGAGAGGTGTGTCAGGTGCTCGCTTCAAAACAAAAAGAGTAAATAAGCAGCAGTAACTAGTGCAAGGATTCCCAGCCTTGTAAAGTGACAATATAAAAAAAGGAGAAGAAACTGCGCTTTAAATAAATTCTTACATACATACACTTGATGTCCCTTAGTCGGTATGGATAATATATCCTCAAAAAAAACACAAAGAGGGAAATACAATAGTGCAATATGTTATAATAAAAACCAGAATTACTGTGTAAACTGAGGTATTTCAAACCCACATTTGGTAGAGCTAATCAGGAGCTCTACCTTAGCTTGCACGGACGGTACAATCCCCGTCTCGGGATAGAGAGTTCAACTTTTCAATGCTCCAATGGTGTGGTGGCATAAAAATAAAAACAGAAGAGAGAGAACTCCAATAGTGTAGTAGTTCTAATTAAAATGTGGAACAAATAAAATGAAGATGATTATACTCACATTTATTAGAGCAGACAACTTGCTCTAGTATAGAAGGCTTGCAGTGGTATAATCCCCACTGAAGGATATATGATACCAGGAAATGATGAGGAAGATGAATAAAAATAAAGTAGTATATCACTTTAAAATTATATTTAATGGCAACAAGTATTTGTAATATAATAAATAAAAAGGGCTATAAAAGATAACACTTTACGCGTTTCGCCTGATCGGCTTCATCAGAAGTGTAAAGTAAGTGTCCTCAAGTTCATCATTAATATATAAACTTACATAAGTAGAAATGACTTCCTGGTGTGTTGTGGAACGCACGCGGCAACAAACCGGAAGCGGCGCGGCGTCCACGTGTACATAGATACCCGCCGTGGAACGCACGCGTCGCACCGGAAGTGACGCGACGTAACCACAGGCAGTTTGAATACATGCGTTTCAGCAGTGGAACGCATAGTGTCCGCGGCATGTTTCTATGACGACTGGATACTTTCGCGGCGATTACAGATGCCAGAAATCCTCTTGTGAAGAAGGGCCAAATGTCTGAAGATATAAATTGATGCGTTCCAACAGTGGAGCATATAATAGTCATAAAATGATCTTGTGTTCATGAAAAGTCTCTTAAAACATGATCCAAAGTTGAGTTCAAATGTCCATATCATGTAAATCTCAGCATTTTAAACCGAACACATAAAGAAGAAAAATAGAAAAAAATATATATACATCATAAGACAATGTCCGACTTTAAATAAGATGTACATGTGTAAAAAAATATATTAAGAATGAAAAATACAGATTACATATAAATATGACTTTATGTATAAAATTAAAATTAAAAATATTTTCTTAAAAAATACTCTTAAAAATTACAAAAATTAGAGACAGAATATATATAAAAACATTAGGTGCATATATTTCTCCAATTTCTTATGCACCTAATGTTTTTATATATATTCTGTCTCTAATTGTAGTACAAGTATTTAAGAAAAATATTTAGCTATTTTACTTTCTACCATTCATATTACTATATATCTGACCTCTTATATATTTCCACATGTACATCTTAACCGCCAGAGGATGCAAGTCTACTGATCATTTATTGTAGTTTGTAACAGCTAGCACTCCAAGCAGAGAATAGAACGTGACGAATGCTCGGGTTCTAGTACACAGAATCCTGGGGAACTCTATTCTCTAGCTATAGTTGCAGAGGGCACCGAGTTCCTTCACTTCTTACTGTGCACTGCTTACAGTACAGGAGCATTCATATAGAGGACTGGGCAATTTAAAATGAAAGAAAAGCAAATTGGAAAACAGGCCTACCCTCTATCCAGTGCAACATTTCAATTCCTAGTCCTCTATGTGAATGCTCCTGTACTGTACTGTAAATTCTTAAAGGGACACTCCAGGCACCCAGACCACTTCTGCCCATTGAAGTGGTCTGGGTGCCAACTCCCATCACCCTGCAGTTTTTATAAACTACAACAATTACCTTGCAGGGTTAAGTCCTCCTTTAGTGGCTATCAGACAGCCACTAGACGGACTTCTGGATTCTTTACGATTGCCTTTGGACGCTTATAGAGCAGGAATGAAATTTACCCCATAGGAACGTTGAATAGTTTTCACCAAGGTATGCAATGGGGTATGTCCAGCTGCCATTAGGTCACCCGCGCTGCCAACATCAGCAAGTTAGTGAAAAATAAAAAAAAGTTTGGCCAGTTTGACTAAGGGCTTTTAAAAAGACTGGACCTTTTGCCTGGCAACTATTGGAAGGAATCTTTGATAGGGGGTATTTATTCTTGGAAGCACCATACCAACGGTTTCTCAACTTTTTTTGTGAAATATGAACGTAACTTAAGGTTCCTTTTGCATTATAAATTTTAGGTTTGTAAGGGAAGGAACCCATTGTGCTAGTAAAAGTAACTATTTCATCCGTGTAAGGTGCTGTTTGTGCCGGCATGAAAAAGTGCAATTAGAACTTCACTTTTACTGGCAGATATCATTGTTGTAATACATTTTACTGTTTTGAAACACATAATATTTGTGATTATCAGCGAAGTCTCCCGAGTAAAACAGTAAACAAACAATTTACACGACATAAGGTCCCAAAGGTTTAATAGTGCTAGATAAAATTAAATTAAAACAGACTGCTATAGAACAGATTTTGTTTTCTTTGCCCACCCTCAATATTAATAGGGTGATGTGGTAGGTTTTTTTTTTGTCGTCTCTTTTCTATTGGGTGGACATAATTTTTTTTGGAGTGGGGTGGACAATGGCATCTAAACAGTATATTTAAATAGACCCATACATGGGTTGTCATTTTGTTTTCTTTTAATTTTCCAACAAGCAATACAAATATATTGAGGAAAAAAAATAAATAAAAAGGAATCAAAAGGGTAGAGAAGCATAGTCGTTAATCAAAATATTAAATAAAAATAAAGCAGCAAGAAAGCTGTGTTGACTAAATCTGTATGAGGACATTTCAGATAACTTTTGTACGTTTAGGAATGTAATGGTCTCTGCTCTCCTTTATTGTACATAGACCTCTAATCCCACTAATTTGTTTGTATTATTGCATAATTGCATTGTCTCTGCTGTCTTTTACTGTACATAGACCTCTAATCAGTTTGTATTATTGTATAATTGCTACATTTCTAGCAAATAATGAACTAGAAGTAGCACAAATCCGCAGTGACAGCCTGTCACTGCGATCTCAGAAGGTGCAGATCGCGGTCACTGACCCCAGGGGGACTGCCTGGGGGCCCAGGTAAGTCCCCCGACCGCGATCTGCACGGGGTAGCCGCTGGCCACGTGTGTCAGCCGATTTGAAATCGGCTGACACACGTTAAAAACTGATCGCAGTGACAGCCTGTCACTGCGATCAGTGACTGCATATCACGGTCACCGGCCACAGGGGGGGTTGCCTGGGGGGCCGGGCATTACCCCCGACCGCGATCTGCAGCGGGCGAATAGCGCCGGCCACATGGGCGGCCATTAAAGTGAGGGCGTACTATTACGCCCGCCGGCGTTTAGAGCCGGCTCCTGCAGGGCGTAATAGTACGCCCTCCGTCCTTAAGGGGTTAAAGTCGGACATTGTCTTATGATGTATATATATTTTTTTCTATTTTTCTTCTTTATGTGTTCGGTTTAAAATGCTGAGATTTACATGATATAGACATTTGAACTCAACTTTGGATCATGTTTTAAGAGACTTTTCATGAACACAAGATCATTTTATGACTATTATATGCTCCACTGTTGGAACGCATCAATTTATATCTTCAGACATTTGGCCCTTCTTCACAAGAGGATTTCTGGCATCTGTAATCGCCGCGAAAGTATCCAGTCGTCATAGAAACATGCCGCGGACACTATGCGTTCCACTGCTGAAACGCATGTATTCAAAGTGCCTGTGGTTACGTCGCGTCACATCCGGTGCGACGCGTGCGTTCCACGGCGGGTATCTATGTACACGTGGACGCCGCGCCGCTTCCGGTTTGTTGCCGCGTGCGTTCCACAACACACCAGGAAGTCATTTCTACTTATGTAAGTTTATATATTAATGATGAACTTGAGGACACTTACTTTACACTTCTGATGAAGCCGATCAGGCGAAACGCGTAAAGTGTTATCTTTTATAGCCCTTTTTATTTATTATATTACAAATACTTGTTGCCATTAAATATAATTTTAAAGTGATATACTACTTTATTTTTATTCATCTTCCTCATCATTTCCTGGTATCATATATCCTTCAGTGGGGATTATACCACTGCAAGCCTTCTATACTAGAGCAAGTTGTCTGCTCTAATAAATGTGAGTATAATCATCTTCATTTTATTTGTTCCACATTTTAATTAGAACTACTACACTATTGGAGTTCTCTCTCTTCTGTTTTTATTTTTATGCCACCACACCATTGGAGCATTGAAAAGTTGAACTCTCTATCCCGAGACGGGGATTGTACCGTCCGTGCAAGCTAAGGTAGAGCTCCTGATTAGCTCTACCAAATGTGGGTTTGAAATACCTCAGTTTACACAGTAATTCTGGTTTTTATTATAACATATTGCACTATTGTATTTCCCTCTTTGTGTTTTTTTTGAGGATATATTATCCATACCGACTAAGGGACATCAAGTGTATGTATGTAAGAATTTATTTAAAGCGCAGTTTCTTCTCCTTTTTTTATATGATCTAGAGGGAGAGGTTACCTTCTTTAGTAGTTTTACTCTATGATCCTACATTGGGTAGGAGATTATTTTTAATTTAAAGGACAAGTATTTGGACCATTTGAATCATTGTGGATCCACAAGTCCACCAATACCTACCAACTATCACACCATTATACTTTGGCTGAAGGAAAATGGAGAGGCTATTTGCTGGGTCTATACCCACCCCTTGTCATTCAACAGGAAACTCACAGTTAATCTTCGGGTGCAGATCATCCCGTGCTCAGCTCTGTTAGCACAAAACCTTGCACTGCCCTCCACTGATTCATGACATGGTTTCAGTGTACCCTTGCTGCTATGTTACGCATTAACAGTTATTGATATATTGTGTATTGTTACGATATCATTAGCTTACCTTGGGCTCTTTAAACTCCAGGTCCTCTCCGTATTGAATAGCAAAATCTATGTGTTGGAGCACAATGTTTATGCATTCTTCATCAGAACGATCAAAAGGTAAAAATCGAACCATGCTGTAATCATCAATCTGGAAAAGACGCAGCATGTAAGTCAGTGGAATACTAAAAGCCAATATTGCCAATTTTAAAAGGTGAAAGAAAGAATGACATTTGGTTAGCGTTGCTCATAAAAAAGGACAGTTAACTAGGCACATTGCCAAAAGCAGAGCAGGCGGCACATGGTCAATAGAGATTTCCAAAATACAAAAAAAATAAATAAATAAATAAATAAATCATGAACTATGCAAGAAAAAAAAAAAACAACACTTTATATAAATGAAAACTGACAAAAAAAAACCCAACAAAAATACTAATAGTAACCAAAAATAAAACAGAGCTAATAGCAAGCACTCACCAATCCACAAATGGCCTTGGTCAGCTTCTTGAACTTCTTGCTTTTTAGTCGGGTGCATGAATCGTCAATCATGGAATACATATCTGGATCTAAAAACCTTTCAAAAGAGAATGTCAGTCATGAAATGTGAGGAGAATCAAAGCACAATAAAAATGAAATTATTGGGGCCTTGGATAAGCCATTCAAAGAACATATAGGACTATTCACAGCGTCAGCAGCAAATAGCAAATGCAACATCTCTTGATGATGCCTGCGGATTCAAGCTTACTTTTCAATTTCTTTTTTAGCTTTCTTGCTTAGCAAATCCATCTTGGTCATAATGTTACACTGGGGAATCTCCAGAGAGATCATAGCACTGAGTGCAGCCATAACTCCAGAAATGAACTGCGAGAAAGAGAACAGGCAGTGGCACGTTAAGGATACCAGTAGATTTAGTGAATAGAATACAAAAAAAAAAAGACACATAGCTTTACATGAGCATAATTTTATATTTTCTTTTAACAGGTGTATACGTGGATATTATATGTTTTTAAACGTTGTGCTATTAGACTAAAGTTAGCACTATAATCCTAAAAGATCTTTGTCAACGGTCATTACACAGCAAAACAATAGGATTCTAGCTAACAAATGACAACGTAAAGGTAAAGTTTTCACACTGTACCAATGTAGGTGATAAATTGGGCACTAAGTGGAGTGAGTAGAAAACGTATTTCATGTGAAACTTTGTGTTCTCTTCAACTATGTAAATACCAGAATTTCAAATGTAGCCAATAATCTAAACAGTATTGTGTTTCATTGTTCTCTGCTAATTGATATAGTAGAATATAGTAGGTGGAATTTTAAAAAGCAGATATGGAGCATTTCTAATCAGGCCACGTGTTTCTCTTGAACATTTTCCCCTAGATTTCAGATTGCTATGTATTTATAAATATGGTCACTTGTACTGTAAAAACTAGATAATCACATGCCCAGCCTTAAAGGGGCACTATATGCTAAACACTAAAGCTGTATGCTAACTCACCCCAGCATGCTCCAGATGACAAATGTTCTGATTGATAGAAAATTAAATTGACTTAAAGTGTTACTTCTAGATTATCAATGTGGCCAAGATGGGTGTGGTCCCTGCTCTTAAACTTTTAATAATAAACCAGGATACATGTTTTAGATGTAACGTAGAGGTATTTTTTTACCATACAAAAACAAAATGTAGTTCAATAGAGTAAGAAAGGTCACAAATCTCTAAAATCTTTTAGACAAAAAGGCAAGACAACATACCTTAAAAGATTCCACCATGAACTGTGAATCCACAAGGAAAACGCCACAGACTCTGAACTCCCATTGCTGGAGCTGCTCAACCAGGTACTTCATGACTGGCAGGTGAGTATATAGCTCGATCTGGCCTAGGAAACAAAGGACACCAGAAATACATATAAAGAGTTTCGAATATGCAGGATTAATTAGCATAAGACTTTTTATAGACAAGCTAACCTACTTCCTCCAACATATGCTGCTGCATAAAGTGGGCAACATCATCGGTTTTCTTTTTTTGTTTTGTTTGCGCACTGTAGTAGTTATGGTGCTCTGGGGTCTGACTCCCCATAGCAGAACTTTACAGCCTTGCCTACTTTTGTTTATATTAACAATCATGCAATGTACAAAATAAAAAAATACAACGGAGACAGGAAATACACAAGACATACTTTGCACCTTAATAATGCCAAGAGTCCACTGTTATTACACTCAAAGTATAAGCCTAGTCAATACAGCACTGAGAACAACCCTATTGTTTGTGTTCACCATGCTGTATGACATACACTTAGAATCCATGATGTGGGCAAACAAATTCAACCAACACAGCTGAAATGCTTGTGTATTTGCATTGGGAATTAAGAAATATGTATTAAAGTCTGTGCGTTGATTAAACTCTCACCTGGACAGTCAAATAGAATGTAATCATCTTCTGTGTGGCCCAGACAGCTTTCCAGCCAATCAAAGTTATTTGCAAAATATTCCATACAATATACTAGACCTCCATTAGGCCCAAATCTTAGGGAACTGTCTTCCATCACATCATCAACTTCAATGAGCTCTCGTATATCTAGAAGGAAATAAATTGTGAAGACTGCTTATAACTGTTGTATGACAGTGTCAACAACAAATGTTATGCTTATCTCTATATTAAGATATACAATGTACAGGATGTTCTATAAACTTGCATCTAGTATAGGACACATTAAAACCAAACACTTACCAGCCATGACAGGATAGTCAAAATGCTCAGCTGCCGGGTCCAAATTAACCACTTGCACAGATCTGTTCAGATTCTCACAGTGTTGGACCATGGTGGAGCAATATGTACTCTGAAACATAAACACATCACAAACTCAGTGATCTGAACTGCATGATCACAAGCTTATTGCTATGGCCAAACAGACATCTGGTTTAAAAGTTTCAAATTGTATCTAAAAGTCCATCTACCACTTGTTTAAGATCCCAAATTTAATGTGCTATTGGTTAGGGCTAAAGTTTATATATAAATGTAAACATTTTTTTTTTTTAAAAAGACACTCCAGGCCCCATAACCTCTTCATCTGGAGATGCCAGGCGGAGAGGGGAACCGTATTTAATATGTAATGGCAGTGCACTGCCATTCAAAATTTCTGGGAACAAGTCAACTTTATATTTCGGATAGTGGATGTCACAAACGCACCCTACTTCAAGATTGTGCGTGACGTAGTTGTGGTGGTGAAAGGGTTAAACACCACCCACACTTAACCATATTAATATAACTATTACTATTTTAACGCTGCCACCACCAAGACAATTTATAAATGGGGTGCCTTGGTCTCCCAGGTAAACCAACAATAAAACCCACCAAATACAACCTAGCACAATATTAAAGGAATTTGTCTCTTCAGGTAACGTGATTCTTTACCAAAGGCAGAACTTTATAAAGGAATATTTATTATAAGCAAAATAAAAATGTTTTTGCATACAAAATATAGATGACAATCAAATTATTTACACCAACAACAGATAAAACCAAAAGGGATAAAATAACAGAAGCCCTAATCACTTACTCAAGTTTTCAAAGTAAAACTTCTGTCCAGGGGGTATCTGGTAAGAAAGGTTGTGACTCACTTAGAATTAGATTCTGGCCCTCTTAAGCAAGTATAATCCCTCCCACCTCCTGGACAGCATCCATTTCAAAGCTGCCTTCAAAATGGATGCTGTCCAGGAGGTGGGAGGGAGAGTCTGCTGCAGATTGGCCGGGATGTGTCAGCTGACCAGAGTCCGTGGCGAACAGTTCGTGAACCGTTCGCAAATAGTTCGCGACATCACTAATTTGTTGTAATAAGTTTTACTGTTTTGAAACACTAATATGTGTTCAGCGAAGTCTCTCGAGTACCCCTCATGTACAGGTTTTATGGTGTTTTCAAAAGTCAGAGAGTCAAATATAAGGCGTGCATTTCATTTTTTTCACATTGAAATTCGCCAGGTTGGTTATGTTGCCTTTGAGACCGTACGGTAGCACAGGAATGAAAATTACCCCCACGATGGCATACCATTTGCAATAGTAGACAACCCAAGGTATTGCAAATGGGGTATGTTCAGTCTATTTTAGTAGCCACTTAGTCACAAACACTGGCCAAAATTAGCGCTCAAATTAGTTTTTTGCATTTTTCACACAAAAATTAACACTAACTTTGGCCAGTGTTTGTGACTAAGTGGCTACTAAAAAGACTGGACATACCCCATTTGCAATACCTTGGGTTGTCTACTTTTGAAAATGGTATGCCATCATGGGGGTAATTCTTATTCCTGGGCTATTATACGCTCTCAAAGGCAACGTAACCAATCTGGCGAATTTCAATGTGGAAAAAACAGAAAAATGTAACGTGCTATATTTGACCCTGTAACTTCCCAAAACACCATAAAACATGTACATTAGGGGTACTGTTTTACATGTGAGACATCACTGAATACAAATGTGTATTTTATTGCAGTAAAAGCAAACAGTATTATGACATTCACAGTTAAAATGTCACATAGAACTAAAAAAAAATTCTTAATTTTTTCCCCTTTAAAAAAAAAAAATATTTTATTCATATTACATTTCATACCTAAATATTTGGTGTTAAATGAAAGCCCTGTTTCCCCTGAATAAAATGATATATAATAAGTGTTAGGTGCACATAATATGAAAGAGGCGAATTACGCCTGAACAGACATATATTGCACAAATTCACTTTTTGTTTGTCTTGTTTTGATCACAATGTGTACATTTGGCTCAGTTCTTAAGGGGTTAATATTGCATGGGAGGTCTGGGGAGGGGGAGATGGGGTGGCTTTCATTCTAGAACTGCAGCACAAGTACACTGGATACTTGGATGTTCCAAATATTTCCCTTGTGTTGTATGAAGTTTAATGGCTATACTTGTGGCACTGAGCTATTTTAAGAGTAGTTTTGCGTGCCCATTAATGCACTTCTTCTTATGCGTGTGTATCATTTGATGTAAATCTAATAAAATACAAGTTTAAAAAAAGCATGCCAGCAGGGCATCTGGAACTGCATATTACAGGGTCAGGCAATAGGAATTTCCCATCCCTGCATATTTTTAAAGAGACACGTCATTAGTGAGATTTCGCATAACCAAATAGCTAGCATTGGTTGTTTATAAAAAAAAAAAAAAAAGAAAAGAAAAAAATCTCAAGTTTTATTTTAATGTATATGCTAAGCAGAAAATATAGAGTGTCTCTTTGGATGCACTATGTATATGACATTCCATGAAGCTTCTTTGCGGTATGACTGTCGCGGACAAGGTGGGAGTGCAGCTGAAGTTAGTTATTTTAACTTATTCCCACTGCTTTATTCTCCCCCATTGAATGCTGCTACATTTACTGGGGTAACGGATCAAGGAACTTTCACTCTACTGTTAGTGCTTCAAAATAAGAATATAAAAAAAATGTGGGTATAGGTTATCTTTCAACTTTCTATTCAGTACAATTTCCGGTTTCGTGAATAAGCCCCAAAGCATCTGCTAAATTGCACCTATTTGCAACTAGATTGAGAACTAATAATATACTCAGGATTTAGTAAATACACTAACGGAGAGTATTTTTTGTTTTAAAGAAACACACACCCCCATTTTGCAACTTCTTTGAAATATCTCTACAAATCAGTTTGGTGAATAAAATCTATAAACGAACCGTCGAGAATGGGGGAGAAAGAACTAGAAAAGTTGACCTTTTAGCAAAAACAGCCAAAAGGGGGAATTCTCCAGTTCACCTTTCCAGCTGGGCTTTATAATTCTCTATTCAATGATCAGTTTAGCGAATGACACTGACTGGCCCTTTAACAATGTGTGCTGGGTGACCCTGCCTGCAGATATGTGTAGATTAGTTTCTATATGAGGAAATGATCTATAATATCAAGTATTAATCCCACCTTGCCACTGCCGGCCGGCCCCATCACTAGCTGCGCATAGCGAGGCATCCTGCCTGCAGTATAATCACACACTGGCTCTGGGAAGCCTCCTCTCACTCACGTGTGCTCACTCTCTTCCGGGATAGAGACGGCAACTCGGAGTGTCCAATCTAGTAAAACATTTTCTTGTGAATCCACTTGCTTGTATTTTTTTTATTTATTTTTTTTATATTTAGTGCAGTTTTTTTTCTCCCCTAATAAAAACGTGTTTACTCAAATCCACATCCTCTTGAAATGTCAGCTACAAATTGCAACACACCATTGTTTTAAATAGTCCATAACACCAAATGATAATGTATTTGTTTAATGTAATCTAAATGAGAACACTCTGTGATACTGTAACTGTTAAACACTTAATCCCCATGTTCCTCAGAATAATTCGAAAATGAGTCAAGCGCTGCAAGTGCCAAAGGTCAGTCACCATTAAATGGACGCTCAGAGAATACTTTGAATTATTATTTTATTTTTTTAGTTCTAATTGTTTTCCTTTCTCTGTGGGTGACTTGTTACATAGGTAAAAGAGAAGCTACCTGGTGTCAGAGAGAGGGAGATATAATCTGCGCATGTCATGGTTTGTGTAGTTATTAGCAGCCTGCTCTAGAGATAATCCCAGATCCCCAATGTGTAACCAAACACTGGCTGTGGATACAGGTTACTGTCAGGTCCTGTGTATCAGGTAGGGCGGTGGTTTGGGAAAATGATGAGACAAGCCACTTATAGTGGTAAGAAAAATCTTTCTGAAAAGAAGTTTCTAACAAGGTGAGAACCTGGTTTTAGCCTCATTCTGTGTATTTTTCTGGTATCTGTGTGTATTTATGGTATCTGTTTATATTGGCTCTCTGTGTATATGTATTATATTTGTGTGTATTTATTGGTACTGTGTGTACTATATTTATTGTATCTGTGTATTTATCATGGTGTCTGACCGTGAATGCATGTTGTCTTGCATGGGAATAATTTATGCATGAAAGCAACTTTAAAACTGGCTCTTTTTAATGTTGCAATGTGACATCATTGATTCGTATTTCTACAAATTTTTGTTATTCTTTGTTTTGGATATTTTATATTATTGTGTGTTTGGCTGGAAATTTTGCACAACACATTTATTGTCCTATACCAAGGTCAATTTACTTCCTCTGAAATGTCAAAGTTATCAATTAATTTGCATGTCAATTAGTGAAATAAGTATTTGACCCCTTCGACTTAGTACTTGGTGGCAAAACCCTTGTTGGCAATCACAGAGGTCAGACGTTTCTTACAGTTAGGCACCAGGTTTGCACACATCTCAGGAGGGATTTTGTCCCACTCCTCTGCAGATCCTCTCCAAGTCATTAACCCCTTAAGGACGGAGCCAAATGTACACTTTGTGAACGAAACAAAATGTAAACAAAACCTGGCATTTGCGCTACATGTCTGTCCAACCGTAATTCACCTCTTTCATATTAAATGCACCCACCCTTATTATATATCATTTTATTCAGGGGAAACAGGGCTTTCATTTAATATCAATGAAACATAAATTAATATGAAAAAAATGGGAGAAAATAAGCTGTTTTTTTTTTGTTCTACATGACATTTTAACTGTCAATGTCATAATACTGTTTGCTTTTACTGCAATAAAATACACATATTTGTATTCAGCGATGTCTCACGTGTAAAACAGTACCCCCTATGTACAGGTTTTATAGCGTTTTGGGAAGTTACAGGGTCAAATATAGCACGTTACAGTTGAAATTGAAATTCGCCAGATTGGTTACGTTGCCTTTGGGACTTTATAGTAGCCCAGGAATGAAATTTACACCCATAATGGCATACCATTTGCAATAGTAGACAACCCAAGGTATTGCAAAAGGGTTATGTCCAGTCTTTTTTAGTAGCCATTTGGTCACAAACACTGGCCAAAGTTAGCGTTAGTATTTGTTTGTGTGTGAAAAATGCAAAAAACGCCAATTTTGGCCAGTGTTTGTGACTAAGTGGCTACTAAAAAAGACTGGACATACCCCATTTGCAATACCTTGGGTTGTCTACTATTGCAAATGGTATGCATCCGGTCTTAAGGGGATAAGGTTACGAGGCTGACGTTTGGCAACTCAAACTTTTTGCTCCCTCCACAGTTTTTCTATGGGCTTAAGGTCTGGAGACTGGCTAGGCCACTCCAGGACCTTAATGTGCTTCTTCTTGAGCCACTCCTTTGTTGTCTTGGCTGTGTGTTTTGGGTCATTGTCGTCGTGGAATACCCATCCACGACCCATTTTCAATGCCCTTGCTGAGGGAAGGAGGTTCTCACTCAAGATTTGACCGTACATGGCCCTGTCCATCGTCCTTTTGTTGCGGTGCAGTTGTCCTGTCCCCTTAGCAGAAAAAGGGAGTGCTACTAATCTCAGTTCATTACCTGTATACAAGACACCTGGGAGCCAGAAATCTTGCTGATTGATAGGGGATCAAATACTTATTTCACTTATTGACATGCAAATCAATTTATAACTTTTTTGACATGCGTTTTTCTGGATTTTTTTTTTTTGTTGTTATTCTGTCTCTCACTGTTAAAATACACCTACCATTAAAATTATAGACTGATCATTTCTTTGTCAGTGGTCAAATATTCAAAATCAGCAGGGGATCAAATACTTTTTTCCCTCATTGTAGTTGCCTTAGCTCCTTTTGGGCTACTTATTTAAATGATCACTCCAAGCCAGTGGTGTATTTAGGATTTGTGCTACCCTAGGCAGGACAGTGCTTAGGCACCCTCCCCCCCCCAATTTAAATTTTTCCCACCCCTTCCTGTCAAGGCCACACTTTGACTGACAGCTGTTCACTCACTTACAGACGCACACTTTCATATACACTGACATACACACTCACTGATTTGACACACTGATAGACAAACATACACTATTACTCGGACGCACACTCTCACTGACTGACTGACTGTCACTCACTCACATTAACTGACAGACGCATTCACTCACTCACATTCATTGACACACACACACACATTCACTGACACACTCATTCACTGACACACTCACATTCACATTTCCCCCACTCACAATTTTTTTTTTTTTTTTTAAATTGAAATCCACCCAGACTCCCTACTTTTGGGATACCTGGGTGGATTTTTCACCTGGGGTCCAGTGGGGGAGGCAGCCAGATGTGCAGGCGGGCAGTTGTATCGCGGGCGGGCAGCCACACTAAGCTGTCAGTGAGGGACCACTTTCCGCTGAGCTCTCTGCTCAGCTCCCTCACGAGCCGCAGATTGATGCCGGGAGCCGCAATATGATGTCTAATTTGAACCCTAACATTAACCCTAAATGTCCCATGTCCTAAGCTTAGTGAATGCACTAACTATAATGAAAGTGTAAAACTAGTTTTACTTACCTTCCAGGACCTTGCTGTGGAGGAGTAGCAGGAGTGCTAGCACGCATGTGCAGCACAGGATCCAGCTGATTCCCCTCCCCGGAAGTGACGTGGGTATAGCAATCTGACGGGGTATACCAGACTGATAGAACACCGGCATTACTGTGGGTCGCACGAAGGAGCTGAGCAGAGAGCTCAGGGGAAAGTGCTCCCTCGCCACCCGCCTGAGAAAGAACTGCCTGCCTGCCCCGGGGGAGCATGAAGATGGCCAGCCGACCAGCTCTTGGGCTATCATAAAATGAAGCAAACAAGGTATTTGCCTGGGCATTTGAGGGCGGCGTTTTTTGCCGCCCAAGGCAAATGCCTTCTTTGCCTCGTGGTAGACACATTTCTGCTCCAAGCATCATCACCACTTTAACATTGCACCCCTCCCCTCAATGTAAGTCGTTAATCCATTGGGTAATGGTTTGATTTCTTAATTGGGTCGCTGCTTTTATGGAGAGCCAGATGCTCCTGCTAGGAGTGTTCATGAGCTCTATTGAGCTAAACTCTGCTGTGCAGGGCCAGATCCTTGGCTGAAAGTGTCAGCTGATCGATGTCAGCCATTGAGCTAAGCCCTGCTGCACTACAGTATGCAGTAGTAGTTATGGTGATCAGAGTGTTCAGTTATTTCTCAATAAGTATTTGTTTACTAACTGCACATTTCTTTTGTGATCCTCTAGTGTATTTGTCATTTTGTTTTAAATAATTTTTATTGGTTCATAGGGAAAGCAGTCATCCCACGCAGGGGAGGTAACCGAACCGTAATAAACATACGTCATAAGCATATGCCACAAAGTGCATTCTATATCAAATTAGAACAGTCAAAGCCTAGCGTGGCAGAAAGGTTATAGTTTGTGAACGGGAGTAACATAACAAAGATTAGGCAAATGCCATTTTACACATCCGGTCCAACATTAGCAATAATAAGCCATTCTCCGTATCCTATTTTGCAGTAGGCATATGTTAGCAGTAAAATTTTCAGCTGAATCTGAACCGAAGTATATGCACTGTTGTCTACGCTGAATTATAACATGTCAAGCTAAAGCAAGTTAATTAACGTTTTATGTCTGTTCTTGACTTTGTTTGACTAAGCAATGCGCCGCAACCCAATAGTAAGTCCACATCTGTATGACTGAACAGAAGGGCATACCACAGTACAGTATTTGATAACTAAGCCTAGCTAAAGAAGTAGATTTCAGCTCAGTATGGCTCCTATTAAATGTATGGTCGGGCTTTACAGCAGTTTAACCCCTAGTGATTGCTGTCAATAAAGCAAAGTCCTAACTATATGGCGTACTGTTAAGCGCATGCGGCATGAATGGAATATAGTAATCAGGCAGTATAAGTCAGCGATAAATCTGAGCTATTGGCATTATAACAGCGCCTAATAAGGCCCTGGCATGTAGGTCTGTAACATATCACATGTTTGGCTCTGCCCTGGTTAAGCATCATTAAACACATAAAATAAAAATATAAATAAAGTAGAAAAGAAATTAAATAAAAGTAAACCTTTAATACGCATCTGAAAGTTTGTTTTTTTGTTGTTTTTTGTTTTATAGCAAATAGAGAAAAAGTTAATCTTTTGCTTTTAGATATTAAATTGTCATTTTGGCTTGTGTTTAAGTAAGCGGACTTTAAATATATCATGTAATTAAATAATATAGGAAATAATGTGTGGCATATAGATTTTTCTTTTTGTAGCCTGCTGCGTAGTTGCTGAGGGATGAGTAGAATATTGACAATTTTAAGCGTTGATGGTCTTTTCGGCACCAGGTATTTACAGTCCCTTCACTGTTGGCTGCACATAGATGGTGGCCATCACAGGCAAGCATACGGCTTTCAGTTGGTTTGTTGGGCTTGGGGAAGGTAATTTCTCTCACTGGTTTCATGTCCCATGCACTCCATGACAGGTGCAGGGCATTTCTCAATAGCTGTCCGATGAGGGCCTCCCTTGGTTCGGCCGCAGTGCATCTCTCAAGTTGCCAAGTTTCCTTCCGTCCCCCCCCCGGGCTGGTCCCAGCCCAGCACCTGAGTCCTCCGCAGCGCTGTGGGCACTCGGGGGTTGAAGCAGACCACTCGACCCCCACATCTAGAGTCTGTGGGCCACCCACACCCTGCACCTCCCCATCACCACCTCAGACCCAGTAAAGCTCGTGTCCGGGTGTCTCTCCTGGTGCCAGCCACATACTTAGGGCTGGTGCGTGCCGCTCCCAGCCACCGGTCTGCGCTGTCCCGCCCCACCAGGCTCGCGGCAGCAGGGACATAACTCTCTGGGGACCCCACAGACCCAGAGGCTAGGGCACTCACTTTTCCTGCTTGCCGTTATTCATCGCGGGGGGTCCATCAGGCACCCTGCAACACCAGGTTCTGCTCAGGCCTTCCAGGTCGGCTCCCCGTGGTGAGTAATCTTCACAGGGCCCCTTGCTCTGACCTTTCAAAAACGTCTCCGTCCCTGTCGGGGTGCCCTCTCATATGTAGGTTTCCTCTCCCCAGTTTCAGTGTTCTTTTCGGCTGGCTGGCCAGTACTCTGCCATTGCCAGTTTAGGCGGTCAGCACAGAGTCCGTGCGGGGGCTCCCACTGCGGCCCGTGTCGCCGCCATGCGGCCGGGATAACCCACGCTGGCCAAGAGGGGGGGGCCAGGGCCACGCCCCGGGCCGAGGGTCCCCCCGCACCTGAAGTGCTTGTCTTGTGGAGGGGTACCCCAATGATGCGCCCTTCCACAGTGCCATGCTGCTGGTAACGGACGCCGATGTTCAGGAGCCGCGTGTAGGCCGGGCTCGGTTCTCTCCGCCTGCTCTCGGGCAGTAAGGTACGTGCGGGTGACAGGCGTGTACCGGAGCCTCTCCTCTGTCGAGGATGATAAGGATTTCGTTTTTTAATCAGTCTGGGGCCGTATGAAGGGCTTTTTCTGGAGGTTTAATGGCGGAACCCATGTAGATGGCGGCAAGTCACTCCCGGCGGCCCGGCCCCCGTATTTGTCATTTTGCATGCCAATGTAGTTTTATGTTTTCAAGCCTGTGTCCTACTCTTCTGTATTAACATATATATATATATTTATTTTTTTTTATTCTCTGTACTGACATATAATTTGGTTTTAAATCTGTTTTTACAGATCGTCTGCTTGGGATCATAAAAAGCAAACATGTGGTAAGTAAATAATGACTCAAATCTAAATAATTATTACCCGGTGCTTCACTGGGACGAGGGCTGAGAAGCTCCAACGGGTTGGGGGGGAGGGGGAGGAGGAGGAGGGGTGGCAGGAGCCCAGTATGTGAACACCAGAGAAGCAACAAGCTGAGCAAGACACACAGGGGCAATCCAATAGTGAAATTAGGTCAGGCCAGGGGTCAGAATCCAGAGAGATCTAAATGTAATATTTTATACAATAGTCTGAGGAAAAAACATTAGGAAACTTTACTAAGAGCACAGAATGACTGAGCAACAGTGCTCAGTGCATGACAGAACATATCCCCTGCCGACCCTTCTATGTTATTGCTTAGTCTGGATAGTGTTTCAGATTGGCAACCACAAACCGGTGCTGCACAGCAAATCCAAGTATAGGTCCTGGCCATGCCCCAATGTGAACGCCGGGACCTGCTGGACACTGCCCCAGATTCAGTGGAATGCGTCTCCAAGTTGTGGGCAGACAATGCAGGACCTTGGACCCTGTGAGGTGTTGCTGTTCATGCACCTGGGGTTTTAATGTCTGTGACTTTTAGTAATGTATGAGTTAGATCCAACAGTGGTACTAAATTGTACTAATTGTTTTACAGTGAATGGTCTATAGATGGAAAAATCCATAAAATATTATTTTTAATCCACTAAAATAACCTGAAAGCAAATCAGGAAAAACCATGTGAACAGAATTTGGAGAAAAAGTTATACATCTGTTTTACATTTAACCAAGTTGAGTCTCCATAGTTCTGGGTTTTGATAACTGTTTGCATGAGACGTTTGCTACTATGATGCGCTCTCTTCATTGTTTTGTTTTTAATTGTTGCCCACTTGGTACCGATTCAGCTAATACACCAAGATACATTTTGCTCCCCAGGCCAAAAGTATAGCAAGGTTTGTGGATCGCCTTACAGCACAATATTAAATATATTATGTAACACTATATATATATATATATATATATATATATATATATATATATATATATATATATATATATATAATTTTTTTATTATTATTATTGCAGTATTCGTATAAAACAATTGGGAAAGGGAGTGGGGTGGGGTAAAATTAGAATTGGCCTAAAATTAGGCTGCCTGTCTGTAGTTTTCTCTCCAGGCCAAATGTAGTCTGCCATCTGCTGTTCCAAGGACACCTAAATTATGTTTGATCAGGCATATGAGGATATAGTACATTACGTTACACCTCCTCTAACGTTTGTGAAAGATCTAATTGGAAGCAGACCTGCTGCAGGAGCATACCTTTCAACATTTCAAATGGACGCAGAGGGATACTTAAATTTTAGGGTTGTGAGTGGTGGTGTGGCCAAGGGTGGGGCTGATCTGAGAAATTTGAGGTTATTTACTAATAATAATTTCTGCAACTAAAATATAGTTAGCACAAAAACAATGGGTCTTATTTACACAGACTTACTTCTAAACATAGACATATTACTGTGATTGTTACTGCTGTGGAGCTCTGTAATACATTAAGACACAACTTATGAAGATCCAAGAAAAGGGGAACATTAGGATAGAAAAGAGGGACGGACAGATTTGGTAACAAAATAGGGAAACCTGGGAGGTATGCAGGAACTATATTTGTTAAACTGTTGCTTCTATAATATTCTTATCTTTAGGGAAGGGAGTATTTGCTAAGGCCTACACCCAATGTTTTATTTTGCTGCCCAGTTATTGATAAAATATATATCCATTCTTCTGCAGAGGTGCCAGGTAGTGTTTGTGAAACAAACAATGTTAACCAAGAGAATTCTGGATCCAAGAATGTAAATGAAAGTCCAACCGTCAAAACAGTCCACATTCCAAAATCTATGTCAAATGAAGCCTTTCTTAAGGTATATTTTCCATAACTTTTTTCTCTAAATGAAAAATATTAAAATACTTACTGCTGTACACCGAATTTAATTGAATGCTAGCTGGAATGCAGCATGTGTTTTTCTTGTATTTTTATTATTTGTGACGGAGCTCCTGTTCTCCGACCGAGTACCTCCACCCAATCAGCATCCTAACCACTTGCAGTAACCCTGGCCCAGTCACTAAGCTTTCAGGAGCTCTTCCATCCGATCAGGCTGCAGCTCTCCTTCCAGGCAGGTATTGTCCCCTCTGCCTATTCCTCTACAGCTTTCCTTCCAGTGATTTGCTCTGCCTTTACAAAGGCACTTGCAGCTTTCAGGCCTACCTCTCTTAATTTATCCCAGGGCTAGAGGAATCATGTAACCAGCCAACAGATCCAAAGACTCTGTCACACATCCACACAGAACAAAAGGAACTAACATACAAAACTTTTTTACTTGGGACTAGCCATATGTTCATTACATATAGATTACTGTGACACCGCAATAAAAATAGAAAAGGTCAAATCATAGCAGACAACATACAGCAATTTATTGTAACATCATGACATATTTATAAAGGGGCAGGGAAGACAACAAATAACAGAAAATATCTCCTGCCTGCAGAATTAGCAATATGCAAATCTACCGAAATAAGCAAATTAACAAGCCTTGCTATTCAGGTAGTGCATATCGCTGTTGCTAGATCCTTGCAACCAATAGGTTAGTTGATTGCAAACATTAGCAAGACAGGAGAGTACACCCTGCACCCACAATGGACACAGGGTGACTAAAACATAGGAATCATTCAGATACCTAATTAACTTGTCCATCTTAAGCTCTTGGTGATGGTGACTTCCGTCACAGTGGACTTGACTTGAGCCCTGTGACCTGGAAAGTATTTATACCTTCTGAAACCAAGCGTCAGAGTTGTGATTAATCTAGTCTGGACCGTGGAGAATGACAAACAAAACAATATATTTAAAATACCCAACTAATATCTTTTTTTAATTACACCAGATATTTATTTTTGGTCAAATGATAAAATCTTATAAAATGTCATGTCAGTAATTAACAAATTGAGACATTACCAGAAAATAAAATAATTGGGGTCTCTTTTACCAAGTGCTGAGTTTAAAATGCTGGTGCACAGAGCACATTTAAATATACTTTTGAAACAGCCAATACATGTTTATTACTAATATGTGACTATTCAAAGATGTAATTCACTTATATACAATAAAATTTTCGACTGATAGTCCATTTAAGTCTGTTCCTTGTTCAATTTAGTTTGCATTGAGTTTACTAATATTGTGTGCAGTGCAGTACTCGTACCACCCTACCACAGAGGTCGTTGTGGCTTTTAATTTTTCATATACTGTCACCTTTTTTTGATTTTCGGTTACATTGAAGGTTAGCAGTGTGTGATTGGGTAAGGTGAAGGAAACCAGAAACACCCCGTGTGTCCAATTCGTCCTGTCCTCTTAGCACACAAATAGTTTAGTCCTTCTTAAGTATGTATTTATTTGTTAAGACTTTGTGTCCACTCTGGCAGTCAACACTATATTTGTTATTTTTTGTGTTGTTTTTGTTTGTTTCCTGTATGTATCTTCTCATGCAATTTTTTTACTATAAAAATTTTTTCAGACTAAATAGTATGTAAAAAAATAAATAAAAAGTGTAAAGATACCCTATAGTTACCAGAAAAACTACAGCTTATTGTATTTGTTCTGGTGAGTAGAATCATTCCCTTCAGGCCTTTTGCAGTAAACACTGTATTTTCTGATAAAATGCAGTGTTTACATTACAGCCTAGTGATGACTCCATTGTCCTCTCCTTAGATGGTTACTAAAGGTGCTTCCTGGGGCAGTACTGCCATCACAACATATCAGTATTTCCACCCTCTTTATGCAGACACTGAACTTTCCTCATAGAGATGCATTGATTCAATGCAATACACAGACTAATACAGAACATTACACACACAGGTGCCCCTTACACCCAGGGATGTTTTAGCCGCAAGGCAAACAAGGCATTTACCTTGGGCGGCCCCCAAATGCCCAGGGCAAATGTGTTGTTAGCCTTGCGGCTAACTGACATGCCGGTCTGGCTGTTGGGCAGGTGGCGCTGGCGAGGGAGCACTTTCCCCTGAGCTCTCTGCTCAGCTCCCTTGCACGCCGCCCGCAGAGTGAGGCTGGGAGCCGGAATATGACCTCATATTCCGTCTCCCAGCCTCACTCTGCGGCACGCGAGGGAGCTGAGCAGAGTGCTCAGGGGAAAGTGCTCCCTCGCCAGCCGCCCGCCCAGCAGCCAATCAGCCCAGCAGCCACTGGACCCCCAGGGAGAAGAACACCCCACCCCCAGCATTCCCAAAGGTAAGGAGGCTGGGGGAAGTTAAAAAAAAATATAAATGTGTGAGTGTGTCTGTTAGTGTGTGTGTGTCTGACTGTGAGTGTGTTTGCCTGTGAGTGTGTGTGTGTCTGTTAGTTACATAGTAACATAGTTACATAGCCGAAAAGAGACTTGCGTCCATCAAGTTCAGCCTTCCTCACATTTGTTTTTTGCTGTTGATCCAAAAGGCAAAAAAAAAAACAGTTTGAAGCACTATTATGCAACAAGCTAGGAAAAAAATTCCTTCTTGACCCCAGAATGGCAGTCAGATTTATCCTTGGATCAAGCAGTGATTAGCCTACATTGAATGATTATATCCTTGAATACTCTGTTTTTGCAAGTATGCATCTAGTAGCTGTTTGAACATCTGTATGGACTCTGATAAAACCACTTCTTCAGGCAGAGAATTCCACATCCTTACATTCTTACAGTAAAAAAACTTTTCCTTTGCCTTAGACGAAATCTTCTTTCTTCCAGTCTAAACGCATGGCCTCGTGTCCTATGTAAAGTCCGGTTTGTGAATAGATTTCCACACAATGGTTTGCATTGCCTCCGAATATATTTGTATAATGTTATCATAGCCCCTCTCAGGCGACGTTTTTCTAAACTAAATAGGCTTAAATTTGTTAACCTTTCTTCATAGCTGATATGTTCCATTCCTTTTATTAATTTTGTAGCCCGCCTCTGCACTTTTTCTAGTGCCATAACATCCTTCTTTAGAACTGGTGCCCAAAATTGCACAGCATATTCAATATGTGGTCTTACCAGTGATTTTATAAAGAGGCAAAATTATATTCTCGTCCCGAGAATGAATGCCCTTTTTCATGCATGACAATACCTTACTGGCCTTGGCCACTGCTGATTGACATTGCACATTGTTGCATAGTTTGTTGTCTATAACAATTCCCAAGTCCTTTTCATGTGTTGTTATCCCTAATTCGCTTCCATTAAGGGTATACGTTGCTTGTGTATTCTTTACGCCGAAGTGCATAACTTTGCATTTTTCAACATTAAATTTCATCTGCCATTTGAGTGCCCAGTCCCCCAGTCTATCTAAATCCCTCTGCAGCAAAGTAATATCTTGCTCACATTGTATTGTTTTACAAAGTTTGGTGTCATCTGCAAACACTGAAACATGACTTTCAATGCGGTCTTCAAGATCATTTATAAACATGTTAAATAGAAGGGGTCCCAGAACAGACCCCTGAGGGACACCACTTGCCACCTCTGTCCAGCTTGAAAATTTACCAATAATGACAACTCTTTGTACTCTGTTTTTAAGCCAATGTTCTACCCAAGAACAAGCATTTTCATCTAGACCGATTTCCTTGAGTTTGAACACTAATCTATTGTGTGGAACTGTATCAAATGCCTTGGCAAAATCCAAATAGATCACATCCACTGCAACAACCTGATCTATACTTCTACTTCTTCGTAGAACGCAATCAAGTTAGTTTGACATGACCTGTGCTTCATAAAACCGTGCTGATTTTTGCTGATAACAATGTTCTTCTCAAGGAATTCTTGAATATTATCCCTTTATAACCTTTCAAATATTTTACCAGCCACAGAACTTAAGCTCACAGGACTATAATTTCCAGGCCAGGATTTTTAACCCTTTTTGAAAATAGGAACCACATCTGCCTTCCTCCAATCCTCCGGAACATTTCCTGAAAGAAAATAATCTTGAAAGATTAAAGGACCACTATAGTGCCAGGAAAACATACTCGTTTTCCTGGCACTATAGTGCCCTGAGGGTGCTCCCACCCTCAGGGTCCCCCTCCCGCCCGGCTCTGGAAGGGGGAAAGGGGTTAAAACTTACCTTTTTCCAGCGCTGGGCGGGGAGCTCTCTGCCTCATCTCCTCCTCCGATCCTCCTCCGTTACGCCCCGCCGGCTGAATGCGCACGCGCGGCAAGAGCTGCGCGCACATTCAGCCGGTCTCATAGGAAAGCATTTGCAATGCTTTCCTATGGACGCTGGCGTGCTCTCACTGTGAAAATCACAGTGAGAAGCACGCAAGCGCCTCTAGTGGCTGTCAATGAGACAGCCACTAGAGGATTAGGGGGAAGGCTTAACCCATTATTAAACATAGCAGTTTCTCTGAAACTGCTATGTTTATTAAAAAATGGGTTAACCCTAGCTGGACCTGGCACCCAGACCACTTCATTAAGCTGAAGTGGTCTGGGTGCCTAGAGTGGTCCTTTAAAAACAGAGGTTCACTTATTTTTACACTTAGTTCCTTAAGTACACGTGGATGGATACCGTCAGGCCCTGGAGCTTTGTTTATATTAACTTTCTTTAGTTGCTGCAGCACACCTTGTCTTGAGTTAACCAATTACAATTATTCTGCAAGTTTTTAGTAGCAATCATTTGCACATCTATTGCCATGGGTTCTTCCTTAATATATACAGAGGAGAAATAGTTATTTAAAATTCCTGCCTTTTCCTGCTCTTCATTAACTAACACCCCCGTTTCAGTTTTTAGTGTACCTACACTTTCATTTTTGTTTTTTGTTTTAGAATTTATGTACTTAAAAAATGCTTTGTGGTTGGTTTTGCTCTCTTTAGCTATCATTTTTTCATTTTGAAGTTTAGCAAGTCTAATTGCCTTTTTGCACGCATTATTTGCTTCCTTATATCTTTTATAAGATGCATCTGATTTGTCCGATTTAAATGCTTCAAATGCCCTTTTCTTATTTTTAGTCTCTTGTTAGTGAGTTTGTGTGTGTCTGCCTGCTAGTGAGTGTGTTTCTGTTAGCTAGTGTATGCCTATCGGTCAGTGAATGTGTGTGTGTGTGTGTGTGTGTGTGTATGTGTATATTTAGAAGGCGGGCTGGGGGGGAAGGATTGGGTGGGGGGGCGCCTCAGTTTTGTCCTGCCTAGGGCAGCACAAAACCAGGATACACCACTGCTTACACCATTGGCGTGCCTTCTACTGCATACACCTCCGGGCATACCCGTAGTGACAACAAAAACAGCCTTCCACATCCTCCTGACAGCACAGAAGGCAATAGCTCGAATGTGGAAAGTCAAGAGGCCCCCGCAGGTCACAAAAGTGTGGACAGACACCCAACGGAAATATGAGACATGCTATCGAAGTGTCTTCCCTATGACAAAGCTGGCAACAGAGGCTTGGGAGCTCTGGGGCTCCTGGAGAGCAGACAACAGACTGACACTTAGACAACCAGAACTAGTACAATAATATACGCCTATATGTACCAGTATGTTCAAGATGTGTAAATATGCCTCCATACGATGCACCACAAACACCACCAGGACCAGACGGGACACATTATGTTTAGGAATGGGAGATGTAGGCAACCAAGACTGCTAGAAGGGATAACGGCCAAACACCAAGTACCAAGTAATGAGTTTACTGTTTCCAATGTAAGCCCTTGTGTGAGAGGAACTCTTATACCTAGAAAACATAGTGAATTGTACTGTACCTAACTACTGCAAAAGGAATCTTTTTACTGTATAAACGTGGCACTGTAAATGCTGTATGCATTGTGTTTTAGTGAGAGAAGGAGAGAGATCTGTGGTTTAGCTAGAGAGATTTAGGTGTTTATAGGTAGGGATTTGTAAACTCTAGAGACCCAAAGGCTCTTTTCAGAGCCATTAACCCCTGTCTTGCCAGTGATCACTATAATCACTGGCTTTTGCACAGCAGTAATTTTCTGCTGTTTGTGCATTTATTTTTTTTATTTATTTTTAGGGGTTCATTTTTTGTGATTTTTTATTTTTTATTTTTTTTTATTTTTTTATTTTTTTTTTTTAGACCCAAAAGCTCTTTTCAGAACGATTAACCGCTGTCCTGTCTGTGATCACTATACAGATCACAGGCTCTTGCACAGCAGCACTTATTTTGCTGTCTGTTCATTTTTTTTATGGGTTATTTTTTTTTTGTGACAGGTCACTAAATAAAGTAATTGTGATCATGTCACATGGGTCACGGAAGTCAACCAGCGCTGAGCAGTCATATGCCACCCTTGCGCTAGAGTCTGACGCGTCTATGTCAGACTCTGACCCTGATTTTGACCCAGCCAGGTGCTCAGATACATCATCACTAGATACAGTGTCTGCTGCAAGTGATGTATCTAGTGATGTTGTATCTGTGCCTGCTAAAAGCAAACCCCGTGACGCAACTGAGATTTTTACAGTTTCAGCTCCAGATCATTTCGGGGATTTTGTACCGTGATGCACCTGCTCCCTGGGCGGTGATGGGAGAGAGCAGAGTTGGGGCTACACATTTTATTTTTAAAATCCCCCCCCCTACTGCGGCTAAGCAGAATCCCCCAAAAAGATGCAGGGTCTGTTCTAAGAGGGGGCAGAGAAAAGACAGTGTATATTACTGTCCTGATTGCCCTGGACAGCCTGGACCCTGCATTGGCGACTGCTTCAAACGCTACCACACGCTGGTCCATTTTTTTTTTATTTATTTTTTTTATTCTTTATTTTCCGGTTGACAGAAATGGTAAGTTTACAGATGTTGGACAGAAGGTAGTGTGTGGGCTTATGCAAAAGCCAAAAGGTAAACAGTGTAGTAATGCATTGTGATACAGAGAGGTATATACCAGTAGAGTAGTTTACTGCTAACGCAACATTATTTTCTCATATACGATTCTGTTCTGTCGATTTTTCCATACATTTAAACAATTCAAAACAAAATAAAACAAATATTAACAAGTTTGAACCTAAGATCATGTTTCCTTGGTATGGTACATGGATTCGGAACTGCAAGTTAAGGGGCGAGAGTGGATTAAGTTCAGTTCCGGGATAGAGTGTGGATTGGGGGTTCCACACTGTGGGGTTTCTGATGGGGTTGTGGGGGGGGGGGTGAAAAGGTGTCCCTGATCTGTGGGTTGTGCGGTTTTTCGGAGTTGCATATTTCATTGTGGACCTGTCTTGGACACTGACGTCTTGGCCCCTATGGGTTATGTGTTTGTGCATGATTCCTGTCGTGGTTGGTTGCCCCCTTTTTTTGGGGGTGTCTTATGTGGCTGTGGTGGGTTCCATGAGCCACAGATCCCATATTTTGTCACAATGCGTTGTGGTGTCATGAATGAGTGTAGATAAACTGTCCATTGCCCTGGCTTCGTTAATTTTTTTTCTTTATGTCAGTGAGTGACGGGACTGTGGGTGAGCCCCAATGGGAGGCTATGGCTCTCCTTGTTGCCAAGGCTAGTTTGGCTAGTAGTTTGTTATGAGCCCGTGGTGTACCGACCAGCGGTTTGGATAGTAACCATAACCACGGGTCTCTTGGGATGGTATCATGTAGGACTCTGGAGGCCAGGGCCACTATGTCAGTCCAGATTTGTGCAATGTGGGGGCATTCCCACCACATGTGGTAGTACGTTCCCTTTTGGCCGCACCCCTTCCAGCATCTATCTGAGGTGGATAGTCCCATTTGCTTGTGTTTTAGCGGAGTATGATACCAGCGCATCAGGGTTTTGTATGCCTGTTCTTTATGTGTTATGCATATCGTCACTGTCGCTGTGGCTACCCAGATTGCGGACCAGTCTGTGGGGTCTGCAGGGGGTCCTAGATCCCTTTCCCATGCTATTACATACCCTGGTGGGTGTGTTCCTATCGGTTTGAGCAGTAGTTCGTAGGTTGTGGAGATCTGACTTATTTGTATGGGGGCATGGATGCATGCCTGCTCAAAAACGGTGAGGGGTGTATTTCCGGCTTGTTTGTAGGTAGGGGTGTCTAGGAGATTTTTGATTTGCAGGTAGCGGAAGAAGTCGTGTGTGGTGAGTGGTCTGGTTTGTGGCAGGTCCGTGAAAGCAATGATTTTTTGGTTTCGAAAGAATTGATATGTCCTGACGAGGTCGTTGTCTTCATAGTGCGCGAAGTCTTTTGGGGTCATGCCTGGCGTGAAGTGTTCGTTTCTCAGGATTGGTGTCAGGGCTGATGGGTTCGATGTGAGCCCGTGTTTTATGGAGAGTTTGTTCCAGATTGCAATCGCGGTGTCAAGTACCGGTGTGGTGTTGCGGGGGTTGTGGTCTGGCTTGTTTTGGGACCCAGATGTAGAGGGAAGGGAAATCGTGTCCGAACAGGTCATGTTCAAGGTCTACCCATCTTTTCAACCCTATGGGTGCGTGTAGTGCTTTAATCTGTGCTAGTTGGGCTGCGTGTAAATAGTGGAGGAAGTGGGGTAGGCCTAGGCCCCCCGAGCGCGTCGGGAGGTAGAGGATGTCTCTTCGTATTCTGGCCCGTTTGTTGGCCCATACGAAGCGATCTATTTGTGTTTGTAGTAGTTTAAAGTCCTTGGCTACTATTTGAACCGGTAGTGTCTGGTATAGGTATAAGAACCTCGATAGGAGATTCATTTTTACGCATGCCACCCTTCCTAGCCAGGAGATGGAGTGGGATTCCCATGTTTTAAGGTCCGCTGTTGCCTTTTGAAGTAGGGGGGGATAATTGAGTCGGTATGTCTGGGAGACGTCTGCTGGTAAGTCTATACCCAGATAGTGTATATGCGTGGGGTTGAAGCGAAACGGATAGTTTATTTTTAATGAGTCTAGGTCCTCCTGGGGGATTTGTACTGGAAGTGCTTCCGTTTTATCCAGGTTGAGGCGGTAGCCTGAGACCTGTGCATATTCTTGTATGGTGTGTAGAAGGGGTGGGAGTGAATTTATCGGATCTGTGAGGGTGAGGAGTAGGTCGTCTGCGTATCCTGCCACTTTATATTCTTCTTCCCTGACGTGTACTCCCTTTATTGTTGGGTCCAGGCGTAGGGCTTGGAGTAGGGGTTCTAATGAGAGGGCAAATAAGAGTGGGGAGAGGGGGCAGCCCTGTCTCGTCCCGTTGTAGATGCGAAAAGAGGGGGGTTGAGCATTTGGGATTAGGAGGTTCGCTTCTGGTGTGGAGTATAAGATGTTGAGCGCATTGAGAATTGAGTCGGGGAACCGGAATTTGTGTAGGGTGGCAAAGAGGAAAGGCCATAATACTCGGTCGAATGCCTTTTCGGCGTCTAGGGACAGGAATAGGGTGGGGATTCGTCGATGAGAGGTCGTCCAAAGTAGGTCAAAGGTCCGTCTGGTGTTATCGTATGCCTGTCTGTAGGGTATGAAGCCTACTTGGTCGGGGTGTATAAGTTTATGTACGTGGGGGTTTATTCTGTCTGCAAGTAGCTTCGTAAGTAGTTTTATGTCTACATTTAGTAAGGATATCGGTCTGAAGTGGCTTGGGTCCAGGTGGGTTTTGTTTGGTTTGGGAAGAAGGCACACGTTTGCTCTTAGGAGGTCGGGGGGTATGGGGTTTCCATGTAGTATCGTGTTGAAGAGGTTGCAAAGGTGGGGGAGGAGTATAGCAGGAAATGTTTTGTAATAGAGGCCCATGAAGCCATCCGGTCCCGGGCTTTTGTTGGGTTTAGTGTTTTTGATGGTTTTGGCTAGTTCTTCGATAGTGATTGGCGCACTTATTTTGGATATAGCCTCCGTTTTTAGGGCTGGTAAGGGTATCTTCTGTAGGTATTCGTCTATAGATTGTCTGGACTCTTCGGGTTGTAGTCTGGTGTTGGGGCTATGGTCGTATAGTGTGGCAAAATATTTTTGGAAGACTTCGCCGATTTTAGACGGCGTGCTGTGTGTGGTGCCGTCCGGTGATTGTATTGTGTTTATTTGTTTTCGGTCAAGTCTGCGTTGCAGCTTCCTGGCTAGTAGGGTGTCGGCCTTGTTGGATTTTTCATAATAGGTTTGTTTTGTCCATTGCATAGCTTTGGTTGTGTCTTTGGTCATGAAGTTTTTAATTTTGGTTCGGCATTCTGTTATTTCCGTAAGGATGTCTTGTGTGGGGTTTGGTTTGTGGCTCGTTTCTAGGGATCTGAGAGTCGTGAGGGCTGTTGCTAACTCAGCCAGTTGTGTTCTTTTTAGGTGAGATGCTAGGCTTATAATTGTTCCCCTTAGGACTGCCTTGTGGGCAGCCCACAGTACGCCTGGTGAGGGTGCGTTTAGTGTGAAGTAGTTTGTCAGTTCTGTTTGGATTGCTTCTGTTATTTTCGGGTTGTGTAGCAGTGTGGAGTTAAGTTTCCAGGACCATAGCCTGGCTATGTCGGGGACCTTGATTGATATTGTGATATCTGCGTGGTCTGACCACGTGATGTTGCCTATGTCGGCTGCTTGGGTCATGTGCGCAAGTGGGGGTGAAATCAGAAAAAGGTCGATGCGGGAGTAAGAGTTGTGTGGGTGGGAATAGAATGTGTAGTCCCTGGTGGTCAGGTGGAGCAGGCGCCAGACATCTACCAGTCTCTGTCTTTGTACGAAGTCCTGCAGTAGTCTGTCTATTTTGGGTGTGGGATTTGGGCGTGTTTGGCTTCGTATTCTGTCGACCGCCGATGTCGTTATGGCGTTGAAGTCGCCGCCTACAATTTTGAGGTGGCCAGGGGTTAGGGCTAAGTGTGCGTGGAACGTGTCCCAAAATTCTTTGTCTGGAGTGTTTGGGGCGTAGAGTGAGGTTATGGCGTATTGGTTGTGTCCTGCCTGACCCGTGAGTGTGATGTATCTGCCTTGTGGGTCCTTCAGTATTTGTTTGGTGCTGAGTGGACAGGTTTTTCGCAGCAGGATAGCAACTCCATTTTGTTTGGTCGTGGGGGAATTTGCCATGTGGCACTCTCGGTATTGTCTGCTGAGAAGGGGGAAGGGTTTGGCCTGTGTGAAATGGGTTTCTTGCAGTAATATTATGTCTGCTTTTGTACGGTTTGCCCATCTCATTAGTTTATGTCTTTTCGCTGGGTTGTTAAGGCCTTTGCAGTTGATGGATACGCATGTCAGATTGGTGTTCATGGTGTTCCGTGATGTGTGGAGTGAGTTGGTTCTCTGCGTGTCTGTAGTATGTAGTGGCTGAGTGCCACTTGGAGGGTATGTGGGATGTCGGGAGGGGAATGTGCAGGTCCGGGGTGGAAGGGTTGTCTGTATATTCGGTGGCCGCTAGGCTTGGGGATCCGAGTCCGTGGGTGTAGGAGGTCAGGGGTTTACCTTGTAAGTGGGGTGAGGGTCGGGTGTTCCCCGGTCTTATACCTAGGTTGCCGGGTGTGGCGGGGGCAGAGGTTGAGGGGGTGTAGGTACCGGTGTATCGGTGCGGTCCTATTCCCGTTTCCCCGTGGGTGGTCTGTTGTCCGGCTGGGGGGGAGCAGGTGTGATCGTCTGCTACTGGGGGTTGGTCGTGAGTAGGTTGTGTGAGTTGGGTCGGAGCTGTCTGGAGAGGGGATTAACCTTACCTCCCGTCCTCTCCGAGCCATGCCAGTGTTACCTGAGTCGTGATGGTTTGTCGGGTCGCTGGAAACCGATGGCTGGGGTTTCGCTTAGGTGGGGGCTGCGGTATGGCCCGGTGTGTGGGGGGGTGTTGAGGGTTCCGGCGATCTGAAGAGAAAATGTACATGTCATTAATTGTTGCTGCCAGTAGTGGTGTGTTCCTGGGTTACGGGGGGTTCCAGTTGGCCGGTGCTCGGGGGTCGCTCTCATGGTGTTAGCATTGTGTCGAAATTGTGGTTCGTGTGCTGGGCTGGTCGGTTGAGTCTTGGGTATTAGAACTGTGGAGGGCCTTTGGGGGTCCATCTCCTGTCTCCTACCTGTCTTTTTTTTTTTTTTTATAAATGTTTTATGTGTGTTGCTCCCTGTCTTCACTGTTATCCCCTTTGATTGTCTTTACTTTCCCTTTGCTCTGCTTGGTTATGTGGCCTCCCTTGTTTGTTTTTCCCATACCGTTCTGCCCCCTGTTTCTCTTTAGGATGGTCCCCCTTTACTTGCGCCCGTCTAAGAGCGGTGCAGTGTGCTTTCCATGCCGCTGTGGGGGGGAGTAGTGCGGTTTGACACTTATGCTGTAGTACAGTGGGGGCAGTGTCTTGTGCTATTTGTGTTATAGTAGAGGCGCCTTTCGGCCCCTGTGCTTCCCTAAATGGGGAGCCGTACTCTTTGACACCTGCGTCTCGGTGAAGGGAGAGCAGTGTCCATTAGGGCCTCCGCTTTAATGAGGAGAAGATAGTGCGGAATGGGATCAGTACCTGGGGAAAGGGGGAGCCATGCCTTGGCAGAGGAAGGGTAGTGGGTTGAAACAGTAGGGTCCTGTTAAAGGGGGAGTGGTGCTGTCTGGCACTCGTGCCGTGGCAAGAAGGGGGGAGGTGCCCTTCGACACCTGTGTCTCGGTATTTGGGAACAGGTTACTCGTTAACCTCATTGCTTCCGTACAGGAAGGGCAGTGTAGTGCAATTCATCAACCAATTCATAGCAGAGGGGGACACTGTAATATCACACCTGCCCTGTTAACATAGTGTAGGGTTTCCAAATGTTTTATCTCCTGGTGTTTTAGTTGTCTAGCGATGCGGTTTGATTATCACGTTGGGCCGTGGTATGGAGTGGGTCTGCCGCTGCGATAGCGGGTTGTGTAGTGGTTGGCCTAGTTTTGGGAGTGCTGATAGGGCTTTAGCATGGCTTTAGCCGGCCCCTCTCTAAGATAGTGGTCTATCGTCGTAGGGGATTGTGCGGTTAGAAAGGGGGGGCAGTGATGAGGAAGGCCTTAGACTTTGGTGGTTGTGGCTTACTCCCCTGATCTAGTGTGTTGGTGGCCCAAGTGTGTCAGCATATTCTCCGTCACATTTTCATCATGTCAGGAATGAATACTAATGTTAATACAGTAAATACAGTAAAACAGTAAAACATTTCAGCATTTCAACATATCAGGATATACAGGCCTGAGTCCTCGTTTGGTTTATAGCGGTAAGCTCCGCAGGGTGAAAAGGAAAGTCCAGAGGCCGCGCAGGCTGAGTTCAGGTCACAGTGGCCGGGCTGGTAGCCCCGGTCGTCGGGGGGGGCCCTTTGCTGGCTTGGCGTCGGTGTGTCTGTTGGGGACGGTTATTGGCGTAAGCTCCTCTGGTTTCGTTGTTGTTGTGCCGGTCTCTCGGTGGTGCCACGGTGGCGAGCTGTATTCCCAGGGCCGCTGCAAACTCCTCCATTGCAGACGGGTGGTGTAGCACGTGTTCTTGTTCTCCTATGCGGACTTGAAGTTTGAAGGGGTGGCCCCATCTGTATCTTAGTCCTTGTTGGGCTAATGCTATAGTGAGTGGTTTTAGGTCTCTCCTTTTCTTCAGAGTGCATGGAGCTAGGTCCTGGAAGAAGGTAAGCACGTGAGACCCATGTTTTGGTTGCATGGCTCTGGCTGCCGCCATGATTTTTTCTTTCGTGGCGAAGTGTAATAGGCGGACGATGATGTCTCTGGGGACTGATGGGTTGAGGGCTATGGGTCGCAGTGCCCTGTGTGCCCTGTCTATCTCCCTGTTTTGGTCTGTGGAATTCGGGAGTAAGGACCGGAACAGTTCTTGTAGCGTGGGTAGTATGGCGTCTGTATCTACTGTTTCCGGCATGCCCCTTATTCTAATATTGTTCCTGCGAGACCGGTTATTGAGGTCTTCCAGGCTGTCTTCAAGGAATTGCACTTTGTCGCTTAAATAGAAAATATCTTGCTTGTGTTGGGTTGTGTTCACTTTAATTTGTGTGATGTCAGCTTCTGCCTGTGCCGTGCGGTTGTTCAGGGCTTCGATTTCCCCTTTTAGGCCTGAAATGTGGCGTTCCAGTTCTGTGGCTGTGTGTGCCTTTATATCAGCTGTGGCATCTTGCAGCATTTGGCGGAGATCGGATTTGGTAAGTGATTCAGGCGTTGTGCGGCAGTGTGTAGCTGCTTCTCTGTCTGGGGTTTCGCTGTCGTCGGTTTCAGCTCCGGATTCTTGGGCCTCCTGGGTTAAAGATGGCCGCCCCTGTTCCCTGGTGGCGCGGAACATCGATGCCACAGATAGAGGGGTGTCCTTTTTTTTTTTTTATTGCCCCCCATGGAGATGTTGAGCGGGGGGTGCTGCGGGTAGCGTGTGACCCTTTTTTGCTTTTGGGTGGTCGGGGAAAAGGTGCCGATGTTGGCGGATTGTGGCTCGTGGACGGGAGAGCTCAGGGTTTACACGTCCTGCTCCATCGGCGTTCAGGCTCCGCCCCCCTTTAATTTATTTTTTAACATTTGCCTTCAGTGTTTTTTTTTTTTTTGGGGGGGGGAGGGTTTTCTTACATTTACCCCGTGCATGGGGGGCCTGGGTGTCCTAAGGAGAAGCCTTGCAGAAGAACCCCTGGGGTGTGTTCTTGCAATAACCAACAGCGGGCTCTCCTAAACTCCTAAATCACAGTCAAAAAGCTGTGTGTGTGTGTGTGTGTGTGTGTGTGAAAATGAGGATTGATCAGTTACCTCCACACGCGTTCTTCAACTGTTTTATTTTTTTGGTCTGGCTATAAAAAAAAGAAAAAAAAAAAAAAGAAAAAAAGTTGCATCAAAGCACTCCACATGCAATACCTTGGGGTGTCTACGTTTCAAAGTGTGTACCCTTTCGTGGCAATCTATAAAACTGGGGTATGTGATAAGCCCCAAGCTAAAGATAGGCCTATCAGAAGAAATACTCTCAATTTCAACTCAAACTGAAAAGTCATACAATTGTAACCATACCTTCCCAAAATCCTGGCAAGCCTATGCGTGGGGGGCATGGGTGTTCTAAGGAGAAGCCTTGCAGAAAACCCCCTGGGGTGTGTTCTTGCAATAACCAACAGCGGGCTCTCCTAAATCACAGTCAAAAAGCAGTGTGTGTGTGTGAAAATGAGGATTGAACAGTTACCTCCACACGTGTTCTTCAACTACTGCAGGGTGTCAACTTTTCAAATACATGCACGCTCATGTCAAGAAAATACATTGGGATATCTGATAAGTCCCCCATAAGGAAGATCGGCAAAGAAGATATGTACAATTTGAAAAACGCATATCAGACATTTTGCTTTGCACCCCCCAGTGAACCCGACAAACATATGCATGCGTGGTATCGCTGTACCCGGGAGATGTTGCTGAGCACATATTGGGGTGTCCTTTGGCAGGAACACCTAACAGGAGGTTAGAATTTATGCTCAAAGTAGAATGTGTGAGTGAAAAAGTGAACATGAATGTGTGAGTGAAAAAGGACATCACAAAAATGTTTGACAGAGACTGGTGGTAGAATTAGTGCATGTAAAGTGTTGAAATGCCACCATGTGAAATGCCCTAGGGTGTGTACTTTTCCAAAACATACGGTTTGACGGAGGTGAATTACATTGGCTGGCTTCAGAAATGTTCCAACTGGGACATGGGGGCATGATGGCCAGCTGTGTTTTATGTTTCATCATATTTCACTTTTTTTATTCTAGTAAATCATATGATATGATGAAAATAATGGTATCTTTAGAATGAACATTTAATAGTGAGGAAAACGGTATACAATATGTGTGGGTACAGTAAATATGTAAGAGGCAAATTACATCTAAACACAGCCACTGCAGAAAAAGAACCCTGGTCCTTAACGGTAATACAATTGAAAAATTGCCTGGTCACTAAGGGGTTAAAATCCTAGTCTCTGAAAATGCAACTTTCAGAAGAAAGGTCCTTCAAGTAGTAGTCACCCTGGGTTTAAAACTTGCTACATCCCATTCATTATGTCTACAGCAAGAGACGCCAGGTAAAACAAGATATTGCTTATGATAAATATCTTTTCCATTCGACTTTGCAGCAGCCGGTTTGTCTCTTTTCTTATTTTGTAATAAAGCAATTTTTGACATGGTTATTTTTCTTATTGGCTCACTACTTCACAGTTTAGAAGGGAGAGGATATCCTAATTTATTACAGGTTTTGGAAGGTTTTTAAAGACAGATCACTACTTGACTGTCCGGGGGTATTTAAAATAAATTAACTCATTTGTTATGGCTGGCCCTTGAACTAATGTAAACAAGGTTTACAGTAATCAACATTCTTTTTTTTTTAACAAAGCTTTCAACATGATTAGCTTTTTACTTGATAAAGGGATTGGCATATAAAAACAGTCCAATAATAAAAAGTGCTGCAATATTTTATCTGTATCATTGTACAAATAGGTCTACTTAAAAGTACCTGAATTCTAAGTTTGGAAATTTTTGGGAACCATGGAATAACAGTGACTTAGCAGCTACATAATAAAATGACAGACAGGTTAGAAAAGACGAAAACAACCGCCACGCCCTCCGATCCAAACCCTAAAAAGACACTCAGGGATCAAACACAGTCTGACTCCGCGCAGCACTACGGGGCGCGACGGCTCTAAACAGAGACCGGGTGACAGCACGTTCGCCCGCACGCCGCACCCATATGACCTGATAACACTTTTTTTCCCCTCTTTCTCTTCACTTCTTTACTATCATCCTGCACCACTTCTATATTCTACTCTACACTCAACCCGGGAAATAAACACCCGGGCACACTACCGAAAGGCTACAGACAGAAATGTAAACATTTCTTGACCTCAAGAATGACAAGTTTAGCATATTTATGTTATGGTTTATATTCTCCTAACATACCATGCCGTGGAAACATGATCAGATGTACTGTAACTGAATGAAACAAAGACACCACTAGGATACACAGTGAAGGCCGTTTTCTTTTCAGAAAAGTACACCAACGATAAAACACACTGTATGTTGAGAAAAGTTATGACTAGTTTACATAGATAACGTATATTAAACTTTATAAAAACAAAAAATCCTTGACGGACGGTGAAAATGTTCTTCATGTAATTCATACATTGTCCATTGTTTTCGCTATATGTAACATTACCTATATGTGATGCATTATATTTGGCTTCTGCGTAAGCCCGATGCAGTCAACATGACACTGTCTATGTCAAGATGAAAAAAAAAATACCTGAATTTGTATATAGTAATCAAAAAAGATAATGGAAATTTTTGCAAAAAATACAAATTGAAAAATAGTGTGTTTTTGTTTCAGCATCCAGACCTTACCACAGGACAGAAGCGATACTTATGTAGCATTGCGAAAGTCTACAGGGTGAGCCAAATGAAAGCAATGGTTCATCGTCCACTTGCTTCACAGATAAAATGTGGTAAGACGTGTTAGAAATCAAATCAATGTGTTTATACACTCGTCTTCCAATATCGTCATAATAATCCCAAAATCAACATACCTCTCTCAGCATATGTAGGGAGGCATGCATACCAAAAAAAAGCTGTAAGTGGGCATTAAGGGGGCTGGGCCAGGTATGCAACCTATGACGTTACAGCTTAATGAGGCAGAAGCGGTCAGAAAGAATGCAGGACATGTCGGCCTGACTGCCAATCATGTTGACTGGTCCTATTAAGTAATATCAAAGCTATCATATGCATTGGATAAATCATCTACAATATAGAGATTATAGAACAGAAATGATCATCGGTCTGTACCACAGATTTGTGTGGTGTATTCATTCTCGGGGCAAATTAGAAATGCTTGGGAAGAGGAATAACAGCTTTATGAAAGGCACTGTTTAACATGTGTGTGAAATATGTACACATAATAAATAGATGAAATTGGATGATGCTGGTGGCAAAGTTTTCAGAAAAGTTGGGGTTCTTCATTATAGAAGGAAGTGAGAAAAATTGAGAATGGAATTACAGATTTTAAAGGGGAAAGTTGCCAAATTGGAAACATTCTCCACTTCACTCTGATACAAACTTTGCAGTTACTTTGTCAGTTCTCCAGCATTTCCAGTTTAGTGAATACACCCAGATGTCCAACATTTCACCACCTGCAAATGACTAGGTTTGTTATTTTATTGATGTAATTATTTCTAATCAAAGATTTGCGGGGTCTCCGGCAATGTCTATGTCTATATAGGCAAATATACTGTCCACTGCACAGATCCATTCTTAATCTACAACAAATGAACAGGTGCGTGTAGATGTTTACAAATAATATCAGTTTCCTTATTTCCAATTTATTTTTAGGTTCTTCAGACAAAGCTGGAACATATGAGAAGAATGAAAAAGAGAAGAAGAGGTGTAAATAAAATGTTCAGATATGTCCAGAGGATATAAAATCCAATGGGCACAAAAAGGTTCCTTGTAAAATATAGAACTGATATAATATTAGAAATATATAAACAATTAGATACATTTTATTAAATATTTAGAGAAAAGACATATAACATAGACCCATAAAAAAGAGCCACAAGAAATAAAAGCTCTATATAATGAACAGGAGGGGGAGGCTCTATAGTAGACTAGATGGGATGCTGGGTGGGGATAATAGGAATGGGAGTTTGAGAACCTATACAGTTTGTGTATCAACTGCAGTGAACCTCTTGTGGCTATAATCAAAGGCAACAAAGAGCCCTATGAATCAACCCCACTGTTATGGGTAAACTGTATTAAATCAAATGTGTACAGTGTAATAGTGTCTCAACACCAACTGCTACCTGAAAGGATATTACAAAGATTGGGTTATCAATGACATCCTGAAAGAACGAAAGATAAATATCTGCAACAGCCTGGCTGAATAAAAATCTGACTTCAAGGTCGCCGAGTGAAAAAAACATTGTCAAAAAGATTTCAGGACATTAATAAAACTAAATATGTCGCTTGGTTAGGAGCTAGATTTAGGATTTCTTGAGAAACCGAACCCAAGTCGAATGGTTGAGTGTCATGTCTATACCCATTAAATTGCCAAGAGACATTTAACTATCTTTATATTTGAGAGAAGACAAATGTGAGGATGTAGCAGGACTACGAGGGCCATGATGTAAATCACCAGTTGTTGCAAAACTACACTTATCATTTTACTTTACCTTTAAAGGGGCACTCCACTGCTCAAATACACATAATTTTATATATGTGTGTGTGTAAATAATATTACTATTAGTATTAATATTACTATTTAATACATATACTCCCAGTGAAGATATGCATGCCTTTAATTATGCATTTTCCCACTGGGGATGTAACTAAAAACAGCTTCTCATCTGCAGCCTTTACAAACCCTCCCCTTCTAACCCCACTCTGACTTTCTGTGTCTGTCCAATCACAGTCTTCCCAATGCTGCTCAATGAGAAGTCTTTGCAAGGCAGGTACTCTGGGCAGTTGCTGCCTCTTGAGTTTATCTCCACTGAGCTGAACAAATATGGAAGTAACAGTGCTGGTTGTCTGATTTACAGCCAATATGTTATCAAGTGTTTAACAGGCCCTCTGTTATGCTGTTATAAGTTCCAAGCTGTATGCAGTTTGTTATTGCACTTTCCAGTTATTTGAAGTATGAAGGAGGAAGATTTCTTCTCTTAATATTCATAAACACTTTTGAATTTGTTTAGCAGTGCATGTAAGACCATTATTATTTTGCAATTATTACTCAGTAATATCACAAGAGAATGGTATGGTCTTATATTCCTTGGCTTTCTATGACCATGCAAATAATTCACCAGACTGAATGGCTGCCGCCATTGTCATTACAGATCCCTCTTATGAAGTATTCTTGGTATGAAGCATCCCCTTTGTGTTTTTTTTTTTTTTAACATAAACCAATCCACATTTAGGAAGTTAGGTACATGATAAATCCAATCATATTTCCCCACATTGCTTGTGGTCAACTTTGAGGCTGTATTGTGTGGGATTTTACTACTGTCAGTCAGTCTCTCCTGATAACATTCTACCGATAGCCTCCGGTCTCCTCTGCCAGTGAGTGTGTGTATAATACACTGGCAATTACATTTATAATTACATATATATATATATAAAAAAAATTCCCCTTCACTCTGTGATCTTAACACAAGATATTTACGACCCTCATCGATAATGGTGTCTATTTTCTATCAAACTTGTGTCTTATCTGCACTCATGTCGCTTTAACCCCTGTATCACAAACCAACTTTGATTTCTATGTCGTCTTACTCAAATGCTTTAGACTTGAGAAAGGGAGGTTTTACCGAAAGCTTGTCATTAAACAATTCTGTTAGTCCAATAAAAAGGTATTACAAGATACAAATTTTCAGTTTTTTTACACATATATATATATATATATAATTATAAATGTACTTGTTTTTAGATTGTTGCCTTAGATCCATCATATAATTCCCAAGAGTTTAGGCAGCAACCCTTTGAGGTTCTTACAATTTGCTTTGAAACAGATTTACATAGGCTGAAAAAAAAATATGCATCCAAATTCAGCCTCTCACATCTGTTTTTGTCATTTAACCAAAAGAAGAGTAAAAAAAAAAAAAAAAAAAGTGGTTTTCAATTCTGCAGCAAACTAGGAAAACATAACTTCTCAACCTCAGAATAGCAGTCAGATCTCTCTTTGGATCAAGAAGCTGTTACACCAAAATTATATCCCTGAATATTATGTTATTGCATGTAACAAGACAGATTTAGTTACTTTAGCAATAATAATCTATTGTGTGGGTTTTTGTTATTTCATCTATACCATCCATCCATTATATAGATAGATATATCTAATATATTATAACACAGATCTATGGGGCTTGTCTTTGTTGAATTCATCACAAAATTACACCTATGTGTTGTATTTTCAAATTACATCTGTAGCTGAAAGGGAATCTATAGTGCCAGGAAAACAAACTGGTAGACAGCCACTAAAAGTGGAGTTTACCCTAACAGGTAATTATTGCAATCATTACCTGCTCAGGGTTAAGTTACCTGGGAAACTGCACCTAGACCCCTTTAATGAGCTGTCCCTTTAAAGAAAAGGCCATTTTAGAGTGTGGGCTAATAAGCATCATACCAGATCTTTGATCTAAGGACACTTGAGGGGGTATAAAAGGACTGGGGAGGGTTAGCATTTACTTTTGGATTGTTACCTGATACTGTCACGTCCCTGAGGAAGTCCTCCACACAGACGAAATTCGTAGGACGCCTAGTGGTAACTTTTATTCACTACATCCACTGTTTTAAACCTATGTAAGTTAATAGTTTTTTGTTACACACTCAGATTTGCACTAGAGTTTTATTTTCTTCTCTTGAGCATATGTTCCCCAACATACACATGGTGATTTGAATATATCCAGAAGATTCAACCTCTGAAGGGAACTATAAACAAGGCTTTATTACTTCATTGAAAGTGTATGTGTATGAGTGGCCATTTGGGATTGCAAAAGATTGGCACTTTATCCACACAGTTATATGCTATGTTGTTTTACTTTATATTGATTTAGCAGATGCTCCCCATTTTTTTGTATACATATTCTGTGGAAGACAAGAGGAAGTCTTTGGGGTAACCTTCAAGCCTCACCTTATACAGACAAGTTTCTTTCTGCTAATATTTTGATTTGCACTAAATGCACTTTGGTTTGTGAACACAAATATATTTTAAAGCAGTGCATACCATTTCATCCCCTAAAAATGTCAAGTTTACCACCCTTTGCACTAAGCAAACTATATTGATCTAACGCTAGTGTTTAGTACCAGCTGACATATGCAAAATGAACACCCCACTTAAGCTTCCTTTTAAATGATAATTTTTCAAAATCACTGCTGTAGTTGTAGACCAACCCAGGCGTAACGATAGTGGATGACATTCAAAACATACCAAACAGTTTAAATATATGGACATTCAAAACTGGATAATTTCTAAAATAAAAAAAATAGTTATGGCTTGTTTAAATTGGTCTACATAGACACTGCACATTTTACAGTGTTAATCGTCCTTTTAGTACAGGAGGAGCAAGAAATGGGTTATAAATTCCCACCCTTTTGCCACTGTAAAGATGAAATCTTAATGAACACAGTATAAAAACAAGGTGTCTCCAAAGTTTTAATTTGTATTGTAAAGTTGGAACATACTTCAGTGAATGTTAATGCTTAATGTTAAGATATTTACAAGACTAATTTTATACATAAGTATTTAATTTTTCACACATTCAGTACACAAGTAAATGTCATTATCATATATAATTGTTTACCACAAGCCTACTGTTGCAGCAAATTCAATGTTATCTTACAATGCAAACATCATTAAGGATATTACAATAGACTGCCTATAACTGCTGCAGTATATGTATCATAACTGGTTGAAGAATGAATGGGAATGGAAATTAAAGGCCATGAAAAGTTCAAGGGATTCGGCTTAGGATTTCTTGTACTCAATTCTTTCTACTTTCACGTCATCTCCAATTAACTGGTACACATAGGTAACAACGGTGGAAGCTTGGATATCCATCAGTACAAAGGAAGGAATGATGTTACTGCAAAGACAAAATTTGAATAGAAATTCAATAAATTCACCCCAGCACATGTACCATGCACATGCTTTGAAAATAGAGTTATAGTAATAGAAATCAGAACACATGTAAAGATTTCTCTGGAACTCAACCAGCTTTACATTACGTGAAATGAACACCTACCAATTACTAACAAAAGAAATATCCCCCAAAATGTTAAAATAAGTAAAACTCACATAGCTTTGCTGGAGTTAGTTATTGCAATAATTTAGGTAATAAAAATAACTAGGAAGGTTATAATAATAAAAAGAGCAATCTGCTATCTTACCATTTTTTGTTGTTTTTTTAGAGTAGAACATAGCTGGATATAAAACAAAAATAAGAGAAGGATCCAGTAACCTGGCGTTAAAAGGACCACTATAGTGCCAGGAAAACACTCGTTTTCCTGGCACTATAGTGCCTTGAGGGTGCCCCCACCCTTAGGGACCCCCTCCCGCCGGGCTGGATGGCGAGGAAAGGGGTTAAACTTACCTTTATTCCAGCGCCGGGCGGGGAGCTCTCCTCCTCCTCTCCGCCTCCGATCCTCCTCTTCGGCTGAATGCGCATGCACGGCAAGAGCTGTGCGCGCATTCAGCCGGTCTCATAGGAAAGCATTTACAATGCTTTCCTATGGACGCTTGCATGTTCTCACTTTGATTTTCACAGTGAGAAGCATGCAAGTGCCTCTAGCGGCTGTCAATGAGACAGCCACTAGAGGATTTGGAGGCTGGATTAACCCATTTATAAACATAGCAGTTTCTAAAGATTTATAAACATAGCAGTTTATAAAAAAAGGGGTTAATCCTAGAGGGACCTGGCACCCAGACCACTTCATTAAGCTGAAGTGGTCTGGGTGCCTAGAGTGGTCCTTTAATCTTTAATTTATTCCTACAATCAATGTTTGGATCATAGACCTTTCCAATGTTTCCTTGAAAGATTTTTTTCATTTCAAATGAACATTTGTGTTATATCATTAACTTCTAACACATGACCAGTTAATTTTACATTACTCACATGTACAATTAATTTAAAACAAGACACAAATGACTGTGTAACAAGCTGGACTTTAAAAGGACACTCATCCCATAACTTTTTAAACTCATTAAGCTGTTATGGGCAAGAAGTGTCCAGTTACTTTCTTATCTTCACAGGTTAAATTGTTTGGCAATGGTAATCCCCTAAATTGCGACAGCTGTGCCTAGCACCTCTTCCTCTGCCTTCTGCTCTGCTCTCTAGTATGAGGACGTGTTAACCAGGCAGTTAGTAACAGGCTGAGATTATTAGGTGATGTTCTCAGTATATCACGGAGTGTGTACGGAGACAGATAGTATGTGTTCTTCTTTTAGGGACCAGATTCTGAAGATCACAAACAATAAACTTTGCCAATAAAAGGATTAACTTATCTGAATACACAATACAGCTGGGCAGTACTACCTAAAAAAATAAGAAGGAATGTGTGACCCATTTATTTTGGGCAATGTAGAATAAAATAACTTGGGAAGATAATAGAAAAACATTTTATACTCTAGCAATGTCTTTCCTAAGGCAAGTAAAAAAAAAAAAAAAAAAAAAAGGTTGCCTATACAAGCTGATTCATCAAAACTTCATCCTCCCATGAGGTATAAATAGGTGTGCCTTGGCGACTGATCATCTATGTGTCCTCATGTCAGTTAATATGCTTGTGTGAAGACTGAGCACTTTGGAAGCCCTATAGTGTTTTTGCTACCACTGTTAAAACTACAACTATAGTAATAATGTGCACATTGTGAGTACTAAATACAAAAGCATTTGCATGGAATGAACTCACTTTTCTAATGCATTGTAGGCCCCTGTTGCAGATCCTGGATTGATGTAGAACTTGTTCTCATGTTCAAATGCCTCAAACTTATGCGTATGTCCTGAAATCAGAATGTCTACATCAAGCTGTCTCTGTAGTAAAGCCAGGCTCGCCATATCACCCCATGGAATTACTTGGTGTCCATGGATCAAGCCAATCTTAAACTGACCAACAGTCACGACCTTCTGTTCAGGGTAATTGAGGTTCTGTAAAATAAATGGAGATATGACTAATAAATACGGTTAACTGGCACAAACAAAGGGTCACATGACTGCTAAACTGAATAGAATTCCAGGTCATAGTAATCAAATGGTGATATCCATTGTCTTACTGTAATTGTAACATGCTATAATGTTCCAATCTTGAGAATGAAGTGCCATGGAAGGCAGCTATGGTGATAAATGCATAGCAGCGAGAGGTGGATCGCCCATAATAGATGCACATTACACCGAGCCATATTTCACCGAAATTCCAACTTAATCAAAATATATACATAAGATAAAGTATAACTACATTGTTTTACGTACACTTTGGATTATGGAAAAGGGAGGAGCTTGAATACATTTATGCTAAATCATACCCTGCCTTTGACACCTTCCTGTGCAAGCAAAATCTGCAGGGAAATCTGCATATTTATATAGACTTATGGCTATCAGAAAAGGCTCCTGGTCTTTTCATCTGCTACAATCTAAAGAAAAGACACAAGCTGTGCCACTTATACTACCTAGTGCCACTTGGAAACAGTTTTACAAAAACAGCAGCAATTCACTCTGACGGAGTGATTGCAGTAAATGGAATGATGCCATAAACACTTTTTAGGTTTGCATACGAATAGAAAAAGCTCACAAAAACTAGTAAAAATAAATAAATGCATTTTCAGATACACTCTTGCTTTAAATAAATGGCAGAAGCAGTATTTAAGAGAAATTCCAGATTAAAAGTGGTCAGTAATTTAGTTTCTCTTGACTGCACTTCACCATTATCAAATGCAGATCCACCTAACCTCTGACAGCATTAGCAGGCTGAGATTGTTGGGTTCTCTCATCCCCAGTGATCACAGCCTATCATTGGCATTCAGGTTTGGAAGGATAACGTGGAAATGAATATTCCATATTGTATAAGGTGCATCAGAAAAGGCTCTCTGTTCTTTGTCAAAACTATTGAAAATGGTTTCACAGAAAACCAGAGAACACTACCCTGACTTTCTACATCACACAAATTACTACACAGTAAGTTGTAGTACGAGTGCCCACTTAAAAATGTTCTAGCTTATTATAGCCAACTGTAAAGAATTAGTCATAACCTCATCAAAGTCTCCACGGACAATGTGAACATCCCCAGCCAGGGTCTTGAGGTAGTCATAGCTCTCCTTTGTGCAGAGGTTCCCGGTGCACAGAATGTGTTGGATCTTCCCTGGAACTAGAAGCTTCTTGAACTTTGCAGGCAGGCTGTTACAACGGTGTGGAATATGCAGGTCACCTAATACTAAGACCAACTTAAAGAGAGATTTAGCAAACATAAGATTAGAAACATAATATGTGAAAAAAATACAAATATCCAAACTAAGAGAATTACGGTGTAGAATATTACATCTATTAGGATTAGTGAATTCAATATAAAATGTTTGAGAACAATGAAATTGCACAATAACGGTATCATCTTGGGTTGCTTGTAGGAATCAGTATTATGTGTATCAGGCACTTTGGACCAGTCTTCACAAGCTTATACTGGTGTTGCAAAAATTTCAGCATTATTGCACAGTGCATAGCCCTTTTAACTTAACACTGCTGCATATGAAGCTCATCTCTTAGTTCCTAAAAGGAATTGCTTTTATTGTAACACTAAAGATGATACAGACTGCCTCAGTAAAGCTATAGTTTCTAAGTTATACCCAAGATTTAATAAAATGATTATCCCAAAGCACTGGTTTTTAAATGATGTGCCATTTCTAATCAAATAAATAAGTAAATCTAGGATAAGGCAACTTCAAAAACATTATAAACCAGGCACTTCACACTGTAGTTTTGTTCTTTACTTACAGGGTTATTCACTCAAGTGAGAATTGCTGGCAACTCAAAGTGAAATTAAATTTTAAGGCCCAAACAGAAAACAGAAATGACTTGAATCTTTTCATATTCAGCTATGTTGGCCTACATTTTGAAATTGACTTTGAATTCCTGGTAATACTCACTTTAGTAAATAACCCTGCTAGTTTTAGCCCATGCAACAGTACAAAAGAGAAACTAACCTAAAATTGGATACATATAAAGACTTCTAAAAAGAATAATAAAATGCCAATAATCTGGTACATGAGAAATTCAAAAATGACATTAATTAGAGCAGCATTGTCACTTGTGGGCGCTTTTCATTTTAAGAAAAGACTACTTACGGTGATATGTCCATTTCTATAGTGATGGCCAGGAAGGAAGAGTAGTTAGTTTATATACTTGCCTAAAGTTCTCGCTGCAGTCTTGGATCATTATGTTTATTCAGCTCCTGGCAGGTTCGCCTTGTCAAATCTACAATCTTACACATGCGCGAAAGTACTAAAGAGAATCTATGAAAGGTCTTGAAACTTAATGGATCTCCCATAAAATATCTAATATTTGCAGAATAAAGTGCTAAAGGCATCTATTTCACATCACTCATGATGAGGTCTGTCTACATCTTCTTCATGGGAAATGCCAGTAAGTGGCAGATGAAGCTTTGCCCGTTGCCACATTTTGCTGAAGAATGAGTCATACAAAGTAGTACCCAAAATGACAGTGCTGCTTTAATTAACTAGACTTGAAACAAACCATAAAATGGTTATTACACACAAACTTCCCATGACCAGTTGAAATTAAGATGTAACTTTAAAAGTCTATAATTTGTACTAGCAAACCCAAATAATTTGCAGAAGAGAGCCAGAGGAGTGACAGTGGCATTATAAAACAGATTTAGAATTTATATGTAAAAAAAATAACAATGAAAACTTTAAATTGTTTTGGAACATGACTTTTCACAATAGTTTGTTTACGGAGTGGAATGTGGTTTGAAAACCTTATTGCAAACTTTAAAACGAAATTAGTAGAAGTGTAGATTTATCTGAAAGCACCTTTATTGGTCTGAGTTTTGCAACTGTGAGCTAATTTTATGAGGGAAAGAGGGGAAATATTAAAGGGACACTATGGTCACCCAGACCACTACAGCTCAATGAAGTGGTCTGGGTGTCAGGTCCCTCTAGGGTTAACCCTGCCTGCTGTAAACATTTTACAGAAACTGCTATGTTTACATTTGGGGTTACGCCAGCCTCTAGTGGCTATCTTCCGGACAGCCACTAGAGGTGCATATGCGACGCTGGAGGCACATTATGCCAACATCACGCACAGCGTCCATAGGAAAGCATTGAAAAATGCTTTCCTATGGACACTTTGAATGCGCGTGCGGCACTGCCGCACATGTGCATTCCGCTCACGTCAGACGGGGGAGCTGACGTAGGCGGGGGAGGAGAGGTAAGGGAGCCCGGTGTTGGAAGAAGGTTAGTAACTGAAGGGGTTTTAACCCCTTCAACACCACGGGAGGGGGACCCTGAGGGTAGGGGCACCCTCAGGGTACTATGGTGTCAGGAAAACCGATTATTTTTCCTGACACTATAGTGATCCTTTAATCATATACAAGAGGCAGCAGTAAATAAAGGGAAGTAATATAGATACTGTTTGCAAGTAACAGACTGGAGGGGCTAAAATTCTAGTAGCACAAAATATAACAATGTTGCAAATGAATTGCAAAAATGGCTGAAACACAAAAAAACATGCAAAGGGATGCATTCACTAAATTTGGAATTGTGGAGAACAGATTATGGAAGTGCAAATTTTAGATAATTTCCAACTAAGCTATTCTCCAGTTCCAATTCTCTTGTCAATGATCGGCAATACGTGATTCATTAAATAAACCCAGCAATTATACAATAATGTCTTCCATTCCGTACCCTCTCAAATCTAAGTCACTGCTAGTATTTGTTATGCAATATCAAAATATTTCATGCACCAAAACTGACATAATACAAGAGGCACAAAACAAAAGCAGTGAAGAAATTGCAAAAATTAATGCCAATACAATGTAATGTAAATCCCACCTCCTCCAGACCGTAAGCTCGTTTGAGCAGGGTACTCTTCAACCTATCTTTCCTGTAAGTTTTCTTGTAATTGCCCTATTTATAGTTAAGTTTCCCCCTCTCAATATTGTAAAGCGCTACGGAATCTGTTGGCGCTATATAAATAGCAATAATAATGTTAATGTTCTGTTGCCACCGAAAACTTGACATGTATTTATTATAAATCTCAGATTTTATTAATAACCACAGGTGAATTCTGAAGACCTTGCCTTATTAAACATATCTGCATGCCTTTACGACTATACAAAGAAGAAAGTAGTTTGTTTCTCCTTGCATGTCAAATTGAATGTTTTTCCTAAAACAGGATGCAATAATTTGGGTTGTTAGTAACTGGTTAGTTAAAGAGAAAGAAGCATTCTCAGCAGTAGAAACAAAACAGAAAATTCAAATCATCGTTCCCTCACCAAAGTTAGTGCATGATTAGTGGAAACTTACTCTGTGCCCAGGCTTATGGAGGAGTTGATTGCAGACAGGGGAGTGTGAAAGGGTGAAACATGAGTGATGTTAAATAAAAGAAAGCAAAAGAAAATGGGTAACAAATTAGGGAAATGAATACAAAAATTATTTTGATTTAGGATGTTATGAGAATAAAAGTAATAATGTGATTACAACAAATGAACAAATTAAAATGAATAGGATTTGAATAGTTTAAACGTAAAATATTGTGTTTAATACAGAAATCAAATGTATGGTGTTGTGGACAAATAAACTATATAAAGCACTTGTCTTGAAATATGTTACTCACTGAAGATGGCGGTGTCCGCAAGGAACAGGTTCAGATAACTTAAACTCACCTTTTCCTGCCCCTCCGCCTCAGCGGCAATGTCACAGTCATTAGTCTTTGCAAATTATGCAAAGTCCGCAGACGGTGACAAGTGCCACACTTTAATTGTTACTGGTAAATCAGGTAAATGAAGTGCATGGCAATATTTGTGTGTGTCTGTCAATACAAGCGTTGTAATTCCTACACTTCAATTTCACATTTTATACTGTTCCTCAAGATCACTGGCCACGTGAAATGTCTAGTTGAAGAAAGAAAAAAAAACCCTTAAGATTGTGCAATTGCACTGTATTTTTATGTTTGCTCTAAACCCCATGTTGTGTTTTTCAGAGTTGAAATTCCACTTCCACGTTCCAAAGACAATCATTTCAGAAAGATAGAAAAACATTGTAGTTGCAAAATTGGCAATGCACCCTATTACACATGTAGTATTGTGTTTAACTAAGGAAGGCATAGGCAACCTTCGGCACTCCAGATGTTTTGGACTACACCTCCCATGATGCTTGTCCAGCGTTGTGTGTGTAAGAGCATTATGGGGGGATGTAGTCCACAACATCTGAAGTGCCGAAGGTTGCCTATCCCTTACTAAGGCATTCACCCTTACCCAAAGATTCTTGCTTTCCTGCCCTGGTTCTTGTAACCCTAACAATCACTAATCCATATTTACTTTTTACAGTGTTATTGTTGCCATGGTTACATTTTTGTAAAATAAAACTTCCCCCTATCCCCCCCCAAAAAAAGTCACATCTAGCAATAGTTTAACTGTGATAACAACTGCTTCTCTAAGATATATTGCTATTCTTAAATCACAATGCCATACAAGCTTAGTTATGAAATGCGTAATGACAAATTAATATTCTTTTTTTAGCAATTTCATCTTCCCCCAGTCTAATCGTTTTATTATTTTAAATTAATGCAAATACTCTTTAAACACATTATAAAAATAAAATATTTGGATATGGTAACATTCTGGAACAAAAGTTAGGTTTTCTGTACAATGTACATAAGGAATTACTAAAATGTGTACTTAACGTTAAATAGTAAAATAATGCTTTAAAATATTTTTATCTGATTCAGTCTTAAAAATATAGCAGTTTAAAGGACCACTAAAGTCACCCAAACTACTTTATCCCAATGAAATAGTGTGGGTGGGGTGTTCCTGTAGTTTAAAAACCTGCAATGCATAACCTTACTAGATATGCACACGTAAAACTTAAGTAGAAACTTAATTGTTTACTTTGCAGAGATAAATAAACCTCCAAAGGCACTTCCTACTCCAGAACCAAGTGAAACTCAGGCCTAAAATCAAATGCTGCTGATAGGAGCATTTGATTGGAGGAGGAGACTGCATTTGGACGCGTAGGCCTAGCTCCAATCAGTTGCTACTCTTTGAGAAAAAGTGCATTGGAGGAGATTGCAAGTGATATCAGCTTGCTTACACCACTGACAGAGGAGGTCGAGAGTACCGCAGAGAAGTCTGTTGCTAGAAATGAGGTGGGTGATATTATTATTAAACTTAAATTTTACTGAGAAAAAAGGGTGGTGAGTGCTGAAGAGAGAAAAAGCAATCAGGAAAACTATAGTTCCAAAATAATGTTTCCCTTTTAAGGTTTTGACCACCAGTTCTTTCTTTAAATAAAAGATCTATATTCTGCAAGTTCCGTTTTTTTCTTTTCGCAGTTTCACGATTCTTTAAAACATGAAATTATAAAATGTGTATGATTAACAGTGTATGCAGTATGGCTATCGCTAAACACCATCATAATACTGGTAATAAATACACGCTCGTTCTCCTGACATGCTTCATGTTACCACATTGTCAATTACAGTTTATTTACTAAATCGTTAATTGCCAGTAAATTAAAAAAGTTAATTCAGTAAACTACGAAACCAAATGTCAAAATTCAGACTACAGTGTGAAAATAGCCGAGTAGGCAATTGTTCTAAATCAGCTATTGTGTGTTATTGGGATTTTCATTCGGTACAATACAGAGTTTAGTGAAAAAGCTAAAAGTGAATTTAAAATTCTAAGCCAACCACCGTAGCTATGTGCAAGTTTTAGTGCCATCCTGTCACCTTGTCCTACTTCTTTCTGACGACACAAACAGCACTTGTTTTTTTCTTTTCCTCTCTTTCCGCCCTTCTACGCTATCCTACGGTTTTCCTCGTCCTTTTTCTTTTTTGCTCTCTTGACAGGAGATCTTTCTATATAAAAGGTATAAACCCTTGCATAGCGGGATAAGCCTTAGTTTCATCTTATCACCTCACAGTTGAGGCTATGCTCTTGTTTTCATACTAAATACTGTAACAACTTTCATGTTTTGTTTTGTACCTTTACAGTTTGAAGCTAGATATGCACCCTGCTATAATGACCAAAAGATGGTCAGCACGCATATTTTTAAGACCTAACTTTCTACCATATGACTACCATCATCCCTAAATAAGTGTTTAAAGGAACAATTATTGGTATTCTTATGCTCTGATATTTATACTCTACTGTTTTATTATTTACTAATATCAACTGCTCATTCAGCTGTATTAACTACTGTCTAAATTTAAATAAGGAATGAAAAAAATAAATACAAATTCTGAAACAAAATAGACTAATCTGGAAAGAACCCCCCAAGTTAGCTATGTTTCTGTTTATCTAATGAGGCCTTCAGTTTGTGACAATTCACATTTTAATGAATAACCTGCTATGTCGTGATTTAGAGTTACACTGTCAGGCTCAGATCATATGACAGGCAGCAGCAACACCCATGTCATCCAGTGTGAGCTGCACAGGCCCCAAACCGCACACTGGGCCCTGCCAGGGTGTCTACACCCACAAACTGCAGCCAGGGGACCAGCTCAACACGGGGACACCTGAGCAAACCGAGAACCGAATCCCAGCCAGCTGGAGGTTTGTATGAAAGTCTTACCATCCTGCACCCCGGAGCCGTTCACACAGGAAGGAAACAGGCAGTGAGCGCAGGCACCAATTAGAACGCATCTACATCTGCCAACCGCAAGATGGCGCAGACAGCCAATTAGAACGCATCTACATCTGCCAGCCGCAAGATGGCGCAGACAGCCAATTAGAACGCATCTACATCTGCCAGCCGCAAGATGGCGCAGACAGCCAATTAGAAAGCGTCTACATCTGCCAGCCGCAAGATGGCGCAGACAGCCAATTAGAAAGCGTCTACATCTGCCAGCCGCAAGATGGCGCAGACAGCCAATTAGAACGCATCTACATCTGCCAGCCGCAAGATGGCGCAGACAGCCAATTAGAACGCATCTACATCTGCCAACCGCAAGATGGCGCAGACAGCCAATTAGAACGCATCTACATCTGCCAGCCGCAAGATGGCGCAGACAGCCAATTAGAAAGCGTCTACATCTGCCAGCCGCAAGATGGCGCAGACAGCCAATTAGAAAGCGTCTACATCTGCCAGCCGCAAGATGGCGCAGACAGCCAATTAGAACGCATCTACATCTGCCAGCCGCAAGATGGCGCAGACAGCCAATTAGAACGCATCTACATCTGCCAGCCGCAAGATGGCGCAGACAGCCAATTAGAACGCATCTACATCTGCCAGCCGCAAGATGGCGCAGACAGCCAATTAGAACGCATCTACATCTGCCAGCCGCAAGATGGCGCAGACAGCCAATTAGAACGCATCTACATCTGCCAGCCGCAAGATGGCGCAGACAGCCAATTAGAAAGCGTCTACATCTGCCAGCCGCAAGATGGCGCAGACAGCCAATTAGAAAGCATCTACATCTGCCAGCCGCAAGATGGCGCAGGCAGCCAATTAGCATCCGTAAAGCAACTAGGGGCGTGATAACAGAAAGCGGCGACAAAGCCTACTACGGAGCGAGGTAAAGACCAAACTATTATTTTAGGCGATTCGAAAAAGAAAAGCGCGTTACGTCAGTACCGACGCGGAGGGTAGTCTGCTAGGTCAGAGTGTGCCTCAGCTTTCCCGCGCATTTCTTTCAGTTCGCGTTAGAAAAATATCTGTAGTGCTGGCTGTCCGTTTACATTTATTCGGTGTTTACCATGAATTGTGTAATTCCAGGAGCACATTTAAAAGGTACATTGATTATGGACCTGCTAGGCTCTGGGCCGTGTTTTCCATTCCTCACCAGTCATTGTGCTACACATCCAGAATCCAGATTGTAGTGTTTGGACCATGTCACAGAGTCTCATTATCTCCTCCCAGTGTCAACAGAACCACGAGCTGCTTTAAGCACCATAATCACTTCATGTGCCTGGAGTGTGTGCTTGCACTCAGCCAATGAATGGCCAACAACTCTGCTGCCTAGCAGGTCCTGTGCTGCCCTGCCACACTGCCTTTCTAGAACTTGCTCGCTCCCTCCCTCCAATGTGTGAAAACCTCAAATACAGGGCACGGGGTGGGAGTGCTTACCTCCAACAGGGCCATCTTAATAGCATTATAGGCCTCCAGGTAAAGCAGTGCACTGGGGCCCTGCCTACACAACCACTCAGAGGAATGAAGTTGTAAATTACCGATAAAATTAAAGGACCACTATAGTGCCAGGAAAACATACTCGTTTTCCTGGCACTATAGTGCCCTGAGGGTGCCCCCACTCTCAGGGTCCCCCTCCCGCCGGGCTCTGGGGAGAAGGGGTTAAAATCTTACCTTTCTCCAGCGCCGGGCGGGGAGCTTTCCTCCTCTCCTTCCTAGCAACGTCATCGGCTGAATGCGCATGCGCGGCAGGAGCTGCGCGCGCATTCAGCCAGTTCATAGGAAAGCATTCATAATGCTTTCCTATGGACACTGGCGTCTTCTCACTGTGATTTTCACAGTGAGAAGCATGCAAACGCCTCTAGCGGCTGTCAATGAGATAGCCACTAGAGGCTCTAGCGGCTGGATTAACCCTCATTGTAAACATAGCAGTTTCTCGGGGGGGAGGGGGGATAAAATGATCTTCCCTGCCAGCCTCGGCACCTGGGCAACTCTGTGGGGCCCCCAGGCAACTACCCAGTTCTACTAAGAACTGCATTAAGTGGGAACTGTTACTTCCCTTAAATTTACACCATTGAATAAAACTCTGAAAATCACATATTACTTATATAAAATATAAGTTGACCTGCCCAGAAAAGAGGTGGGTCTACCATCAAAATATGTGACTTACAAACTCCAGGTACTTGCACTGTACTGCCTGGGCACAGTTCCATGGTATCCCCAGATGCAGGACACCAGGGTACAAAATTAGGATGGCGGGCCAGGGCTCTAAAATAAGGACTTATCCCGCTAAAATCAGGAATTGTGAGGCCTGTCCTAAGCATCGAGGCTAAACATTCTATTCACTTGACCAAACACCTAGCTTATTGAAAAAGTAATCCGTGATCCGTCTCCTCTACTCATGCTACTAATGCTGGAGAGCCGGAAGCTCCTAAGCAGAAGCTTCTGTTAGTGTTCCTGAGCTAAACCCAGCAGTGTGGTCAACCCTGATATACCCAGCTAATGAGCTAGTTCCAGTGCGCCGGCATTTGTTGTTGAGACAGTGAGCAGTACCTGGCACCGTTGGTAAGAAGTCAAACTGTTTAAAATGGTTTGGCTAATTACAAAGAGGTTATGCCCGTGCAATCCTTGCCCCTGTAAGTTTGGATGGTTTATGACACACTTACCAGGGCTGAATTTTCTATTCGTCAGGGTGGAATTTTCATTACCTAATGGCTATTGGTGGGTGGAAATTTTGAGGCCTGTGTGCTGGAGTATGAGGCAGAAATATGATGCTCTCAACCTACCACTGGCCTCTCATTAAAAGAAATAATACAGACTATTTCTCTCATTGGGAGGTCAATGATTTGAGGAGGGCGTCAGATCAGCGTGATGATGATGATAGGCTGACGCTTTCATAATATCACTGGCCGTCTGGCTAAACGTTCCTTCTACTCCAGCGCAGAGTTGAAGATAGAGGTCAGCTGCCTCAGGTGGTAGAGCTGCTAACTGCAGGTTATAATCCATTGCAAAAAGATAAAACTCTTGAAGGTAAAAAAGGTTCCAGGACACCCCTGCTCCAATACCAACTTAAATGAGCGTAAGCTGTTATGGGGGTGGGAGTCTTCTTTAATATGTTATGGCCAAGTGACACAAATTCAAATATATGTATAAGTGACTTGACTGCTGTGTATTTTATTGCCACATAAAGTGCCATATTTCAGGGAATGCAGTTAACGATAGCTCACTTTTTAGACAAGAATTTAAAACTCAAAGCATTGAGAAAAAACTAAATAGATGCAGTTTGAATAATGTCAGGTTTTTGACTGCTACAAAGACTTCCTGAAGGCAATGAAAGCAAAAATACATAAAAAAACATAAAATGATCTTCCATTTAATTAACATTACATTGTAGCGAACTATAAATAATTGCATTATTTAGGATAAATAGCAAGCCTCGACTATAACTGAGGTGGGGAAATGTTCCTTTTTTATTTAGACCTAAATTTTGCAGTTCAGCTTTCAATTCACGGTCATTCACAGATATGTGAATACATTAAATATGTATTTAAACTTCTCTAAATGTGCTCTTAATAAGGGCGTTTACTAATTATTACATTTAATTGTAGAATTTTCTCCATATAATTTTCATTCTCTGTGCAAGTATACATACTAATAAAAATGATCACTTTGCCTATAATTTGGAATGTATTTTTTTGGTATTCTGATTAAGTTCAAATGATTGCCTTATTTTTGATTATTTTGTTTTACTGTAGTCTTTGGAAAAGCAATCCAATCACTTTCAAGAATTGGTGATGAATTCTGGCTTGATCCAGTAGAAAAAGGTGTAAGTTTGACTTCTTTGCTCTGTATTTCCAAATTTTTCGCATATTGTAATCTTATTGAAGTAAGTTTGATTAATAATCACAAGTTCAAACATTTTGCAGAAACAAATGTAAACAAAAAGATATTTGATGAGACAAAAAAAATCATGCATGCATCCATAGAAAATCATCATCTAAACTTGAATTAAAAAAATACTAATTTAAAATGAGGTAGAAAATGCACTTTATTTGTTGTTGTTATAAGCAAGAAGTTACAGAGATAGTCATGATTTCTAGTTCAAAAAAACATAACAATAACCAAAACCATATAAAAGTTCCAGGGTGGACAATTTAGCCTTGCATTACGGTGCACCTGTGCACATTAGCAGCGCAAGCCTAAGGGTTGCATGTTATGTTTCCACATGCCTGAAGATGCATTACATTAAAGGGAAGCTATAGGTGCCAAAATAACTTTAGCATTATGAAGCAGTTTTGGTGTATAGATCATGCCCCTGCAGGCTCAATTTTCTGCCATTTAGGAGTTAAATCAGTTTTGTTTCTGTTTATGCAGGCCTAGCCACACCTCCCCTGGCTGTGACTCACACGGCCAACTTGTAAAAAAAAAAAAAAAAATTCATTTTCTTAAAGGGTTACTCCAACCAACCTGATCACTTCAGTGATTTTAAATGGTCATGGTGGCAGGAATCTGTATGTGCAATATTTCTGCTTGATAATCCGTACATACATTGTGTCATGTTTTTTCTTTAACAAATGCCAAACAAAAAAATAAGAATGGCAAACTGATGTGGCAGCAAAGCAGAGAGATAAACTGACAGTCCTTGAAAATAGAAGTTTAGGTGATGTGTCCAGGGTTAGTCCATAAGCAATGTCCTTTATCCAGTCCAAGGTCGTTCAATAGGAGATCAAGCAGTATTGAAGGAAATTCCAAAAGCAGAGTCAAGGCCAGTCCGAATTAGTTAACCAGGTAATCAAAGATATAGGGGTATGAAGAGGAGATTCAGAAGGGGTCCGGTGATGGAACACACGGTCTCTCTAGGAGTGATCCAAATGATTAGCAAGCAAGTTGATGCAATCAGTCAGATTAACACATTAATTGTGCACTCAGGTTTTGGAGATTGGAGTTTAAATAACCAAAGGGGTGTGTACTTCCATGCCGTCTTAAAGGGCCAGTAATAAAATAATACAATTCCTGAAACATTGTAATCTGTACTTTTGTGTTGGCGGCTGGTTACACCCCTGACACATGACTTTGGCGGCAAGGAACTCTGTTCTGGGCTGCCTAATGTCAATTTTGTGCATAAAATACATCTGCTGTCAGCACACACTGCACCCTAGCCACGGACGTATTGAGTTTCTCTGCTTGCAATGGTTTTTTTCCACTCCCATCCTCCTTCACCTTGTTGAGCCATTCCCGCCTTCTTATCCCCTCAATAGTGCTTGTGTTTTGTTTTTTTTTACTT